ATTTTTACCATAATATAATAAAACTAACACATATTTTTATAGTAAAAGCCTGAAAGGAGCCTCAAAAGAAGATCAAAACGTTACAAAATTAGAACAAAGGCAATTTATTTTACACAAATTATTCAAAATATTGAAATAATTAAATAATAATAAATCTATAGAAAATCTCTAATTATATTAAACATTAAATAATCAAAGCCATTATATGGACACATGCAAAATTAATAACAAAAATATTAACCCTATTACATGTTAATCAAAAGTAACTGAACTGTAAAAAAACAAACAAATGAAATAAAACAACGTTTTATTAAATTAAACTTTTTTATAGTACAATTTGAACACTTTCGTTGGGAAATGTCACAGTGAGAGAACCGCTTTCACATTATCAACGGTCGACGATTTCTTTGGAGGCTTTAGCTTTAAGTTGGCCCGGAAACGATGGAGACGAAATGCAAAAGCGGATGCACGGTAAAGCCACAGAAAGTAGGGTTTGAGCAAGGAATCGATTGGACGGTCTTTGCCTAGAGGGTGTTGGCCGAGTGCTGCATTTATGGTTGTGGATGCACTATCCTCGTGACTCTTCCGAACCGATCATCCGGTTGAATCATTCCGTCTGGTTAAAAGGAAAAGCGTGCGGTGACCATATTGTTCGATGAAAGTAAAAATTGGCCGGTAGAGCAACGGTTCAGCGATGATAATCTTACTACCTTAACCTTCCGTTACTCGTGTCGTTGTAAAAAGCACAACAGTATTATCTTTTACTTTTTTTAACTTTTTGCATTTTTTTATCTTAGATCAATCTTTCGGTGATTTATTTTATTCTAATCTTAATTATGTCTTCGACACTTATACCCTCGGACGGCGGACCATGGAGAGGGCCCATATCATATTATTTTCATTTTATAAATTTTACACTGTTCCTTTAAAAATTATTCTTCCGAAATATGAAACCTCGTTTAAAAATGATACATTTAACTTTAGTTGTCATACTGATTGTGAGTATAGTATGGCATATATTTCCTTTTGAAATAAATAATTCAAACAAATTCTATAACTACACCGTACCCACACATTCCAAATAAGTACAAAAATTCAAATTTCAGAAGTTATTGTGCAGAAAGTAGAAACGCATAGATGCACATAATATTTTTTTTATAAATTTTGTCTTTCTTAAGATTTTCATTTTCTGAGAAATTGCAATTGATTTTGGAGAATTCCTTTCGATGGTTTGATAAAGATATAGCATCTAGCTGTATGCAAAATAAAAAATACATTTCGCAAGATTTTATAAGAGAATCTTAGAATATTAGAACACCAGAGTATAGGAGTACCATGGTATTAAGGTATTAGTAGCGAGGTATTAGAGTATTAAAACATTAGAACATCAGGGTCTTCAGTGGCGGATTAAACGGTAAGCAGACTAAGTAGCCGCGAAGGGCCCCGGAATACCAAAGGGCCCCGAAGCGGCCCTGAGGTCTTATAATGTTCTTTCATTAGGGTTCGAGGAAAATTACGTTTTTTTTTTCTTTTTTTTTTTTTTGTTTGTCCAAATATCGTAATAATAAGAAGGTTTCACCATAAACTCTGTTATTGCACATAATATTATAGTCAACATAATGATATACATATACCCACCAATTACTTTTCTTTTTTGTTGATAACTTAATCTGAGTTTTCTTTAAACTTTTTTTTTCTATCTTGAGTTTGAAGGCCCCGACATTTGGGCCCCAATGGCTTGGGGCCCCCGTTTGACTTGATCTGCCACTGAGGATCTTTGAATACCAGAATATCAGAGTATTAGGATATTAAAGCATTAGAGCATTAGAGTATTAGGGTATTAAAGCATTAAAGTGTTAGAGTATTAGAATATCAGAGTATCGAAGTACTAGAATACTAGAGTATTAGAGTAAAATACATATTACAAGAGTATAAGTCTTTGTTTACATAAAAAACATTACGATTATTCATCCTCGAAACTAGATAGTATTTCTAGTCACATAATTGCATATATTTATGTGCTCAAGGAACAATGATTGTTGCATTACAATCACATTATCATTCAAGAACTTTCATTCTCTTTGTCATGAACTTTTTATAATAAACAAAACCCAGATAGTACACGATAATTTTCTCAAATCCCTCGAGCTTCTTTCTGCTTTACTAGAACGTTTTGTGACCTATAAACTTGCTAAATTTTTCAGAAAAATCGAACGTTTTATTTCAGCAAAATACTCGCAACGATATTAATTCACGATACCGACCTGGTAAATAGATGATTCCAAAGATTTCTCATCAAGGAAATGGGGTGGCTTTTCTAGGCTAATCAAAAGCCTTTAAGGCTACCGCGTTGCGGAGTATGTTAAGAGGAAATGAGTAATTGATTAGGTTGCTTTATTCGACCTCGTAGCTGGCGTTTGAAACGCGGTTTTCGAATGAATAACCTTGGTTTTCCTTGCCATGAAAATGGAGGTGAAGATAATGCTTGATCTTTCGCTTTTCTGCTACGGTTTAACCCCTTTCAGTCATTTCATAAGACGCATTCGAATTCAAATGCCATAAATTCAACCTGTTTAATAATATCAATATTAATACATTGTTTTTTAAACAGCTAAATCGTTTATTAATTTTATATAAGAATTTTTTTACTACGTCGTTCATCAATTTAATAAACTTTAACCGAAAGGGGTTAATGACGAAGGATAATAAATTTTCTTCTAAACAAAAACAAAACACTTAATTTTTTTAGAACCCTTTATTTAAAATATTATAAATTGCATAATTACAAACTGTTTAGGATAGTATCCTTGTTTTATATTCATTCTTAAATGAAATCATTAACCATTCACGAACCAGATGTATAAAAGTTATAATCCAGACCATGTGGGGTTAATTTTCTTCCCAAAATTATTCATTTACAAATACACGAAAATGCACTTTTAAATCATGTTTCATCAATTTTATAATAAGGTCAGATCCAAATCTATAAATCACTGGAGTTAATTTAATCCCGCATGGTGCGCGAAGGATTAAAACTCATCCTAGTATCCATAAATTACCCCTTAACTAGCGAGGAGGTATTTAAAGAACAAGATTTTTAAACAAAAAGAACAATCAAATATCTGTTTAATTATATTCTGTAGAATATTTTTAGCTGATAACTACGTATTTGCATTTATAGAGTAATTTTATTTTTATGTAATAGTTAAGTGGATTAATAAAATCATTGGGATATGTCAGACCGCACCTCACTTGTAAGAACTGAAAGCTATTGGACAGTAATTACATTAACAATTTATCTAATCTACCAAAATTGAAAGTAAAAATTTAAACACTATCTATTTTATTGATCAGATTAGCGTTCATCATAAAAACGGTTTGATGATAAAGATATTTGTGTATGATTCATAGTCTCGATATTCAAGAGTGGACAGCTCATGGACACGCGTTCGTTCTGAGAATCTACTTCATAATAATTAACATACCACAGTGAAACATAAAGAATCACAGTAATATATATATATAAAATTTTATTATTTAAATATAACAATCTAGAACAACACAATGATATATATGTATAATAAGGTAAGTGCTCTCATTGTGGCCTACTTCCTAATACGGTCTAGTCGCAATATTTTAAAAAAATTTCGTAAAAGTCGCCAGATAACACCATAAACTAAATCCATTGATAATGAGTAACCATGTACAGTCCTGAGCATGGTAGGCTTCCCCAGAGAAAATAACAATGCCTCCCCGTAGGCTTCTCATTCGACAGACTCCCACCCCTCTCCATAGGAGGCCTCGGAAAGAATGACGATGTAAGAGAGAAAGCCTCATATATATAGGGCAGTGACCTCCCACCACTTGCGCATAAGCGTTTACGCGGGAGAATTTAAATCGATATTTATTTTATTATCCAAATGTCGTAATTATATAATGAATTTGATATGTAATCATTAAAAATTATATTAATTTTTCTAAATTACTTGCATAGAACATTTAAAATAAACGAAAATATAAAATAAAGAACTGTGTAAAAAATTTAATAAGCTTTACTAATAAACTTCCTATATTTTGCATATTTATTTTCTATAGCCAGGTAAAAATAACCCTAAAATCATGCAAGGGTTAAATCGTTTAATTATACTCATCGTCAGGGATAATTAATTGGGACAAAGAAGAAATGCTCGTTAATGATTTGCTACAGAGTTAACAATTTATTACATAATAGTGTGATAAATATCTAAAAAGATACAATTTCTTTTATCGTGTCATATAATTTCTGTATAATGTACATCGAAATATTTGAGCAATCGTGTATAATACAATGGTAAACAATTTGGTAAATTTCAACGCTCGATACGAACATTGTCCTGGATGAATTCCAATTTGAACAAATCTACGAATGCTTCCATAAATATTTCACTGAATGTTTGGAAAACATATTAACCCAAAAATATCTAAATGGAATACAATGGAACAACTAAAATATCTATACTATGTTTCATTGATAGATATTCTGTTTCACGAATTTCAATTAACGTAATTATATTAATGGTAATTAATCATATTGTAATTGATCGTTAATAATTCAAACTGGAATCAAAATGATACAATTTTGCGAACCATTTGAACGCTTATTACGAATGAACAATGAAAAATTTGTGTAAAGTAATGTTTGATACATTTTTTGCATTTATATTGTGTTTAAGCGTGCAACATGCATTAAAGTTTTATCGATAACATTTGTAAAAAGAAGTATGCAAGAATTTCAATTAAAAACGAAGCTAGTTCTCCAACTTTTATCTGTTTTATATTTTCTGCGATAATTAATTTCATTGTTTTCATTATAGACATTTGAAATATTATATAAATTAATTACACGAAGTGTTTGGAATAATAAAGAAATGAAATAAATTATATTGCAAATTGAATAAATCCTATGTATATCAAGAATAATGATACAAGATCGCCACATTTTTAAACAACTATAGTCTTCGTTTTTATTAATTCTTTTTTTTTTGTTTTTATATGCAATTGCTATTGATTTTCAGTGAACAAAGGACCAGTGAGTACTTGTAGAAGTATCACATGTAAAAAGATGAAATAGGCGTTCGAAAAACGCGGGAACGTGATATGTAGACAGTAAAAGCAGACATCCAAGGATCTGCGTTCAATTCTATAGAAATAAAACACGCGGTATATTTAATACTAATTGACCAAAATTTTTGGCACGTTTTAAATGTGTTCCAGACCATTTTTCTCTTAGCTTATCATCTACAACTATTCTAAAAAACAATTTTAACGAGCATTAACACTATTTGTCGTACAATCAGGGTCACGTGTATCTGAAAATTTTAAAAAATACACGTAGGTATTTCTTTGCATAAATTATAAATTTGTCGATAATAATTATTGGTGCCAATTAAGATAAGAAACTAACTAAAAAATATCTTGTGTCATTAAAAAATATTAATATTAAATGGCGTCGGAATTAACCAAATATTCATATCGACAAAAATGCTAATTCAAAAACACCTTGTACGAATGAAATGAATTTAAGATTCACAATAGTTCGTGATGCTGGGTAAGAATTTACATAATACACCCTTCAATCCTATAAAAAAGAAAGATTGTTCGTTATCGTGTATTGCTGCAATAAAAAATAAATACACGTGACTGTGACTGACGTCACTACCATACACGTAAGTATGTATTGTATGCGCTGATACAGTTTCATATAGACCAGATCTAATTGCTTAGATAAAGGCTAGAGGTCAATCTATGAGCTAATTTATATTTTCAGTTAACAACACATTTTATGCGACTGTTCAAAACTTGTGTCTCATTAATTACACACACCACTAATTAACTGAGATATAAATTAGCTCTAATAAACGTGTGAGTCACTGAGTATCACAAATATTTTCTTTCCTGAATTATTAGTATTGACTTAAAGGAGTTTCTCGCAAAGAGTGATTACATTTAATAGGTAAGTGAACTTGTTCAAGTTCGAAGAAAACATCTAACAAGTTTACAATTATGAAACTCAGTTACTCCGTTCAAGAAAATGCCACACAAACCCACGTCTACCTTTCTGTCTTTACCTGTTTTTATGGAAAGTAGAACAGGTGAAAAAATAAAGGTGTAAGTCTGAGAATATACATTTAGCATAAGTTTTAATTCTGACTTCCTTTCTTGAATTTAATATAAATGCTAAAAATCAAAAGATTTAATATATAGAACGTAAATCATATATTCCACTGTAAATATCAATTTACAAATACAATGGTAAATCAAATAAATTTATGTGATTAAAGTCAAAAAAACATTTTCTTGAAAAGCACGTAATTGACCAATTTAAAGTACGATGTCATATACATCATTAATGAACCTTTCAACTTAGATATATTATAGTAGAGTATAACTCCAACATAGTTTACATAGCTTGTTAAATGCACTCCTGTGTCTTAAGGCAATATTATTTTTCATACTCTAATTTATGCCACCCTTTGGCACACTTTTATCTTTACCCTTACCTCATAAAATATGCCTGCCATTTTTACTACTTTACAGATGTACATACATATAATAAACTTTATGTGGTATAAAGAAAACTATATAATTATAACAACGTTCGCTTCTGTATAGATAATCATTCTTTAAAATGCTAAAAGTCAGAAGGTTCAATTACTGATTATAAAGAATAATTCTCAGTTGTACAAATTGAATGCAAAAATCATTCATTAAAGTGAAAATGGTTTAGTATGCATTAATACATTCCATCTACATACCGGATAATTATTCCAACATAACTGTATATTACTTAATAGATGAAAACTATGATCTGTATGTAATGAAATACTATTGGAATCTTACTTAAATTTTAAATTTTTATCCAAAACTATGACTTTCTTTTATTAATTGATATAACTTGATCATATGAAACATATATAAGTTTACTAATGAATTACGTATATTGAATTAAAAGTATAAACCATTATCATAAAATTCAATTAATAAAATTTCTTTTTAAACAGATATTATCATAATGTCACCCAGTATATTACTATTATAGATATATATATTCAACTCTTATTAACCCATACAATAGGACAAAAGAAAATTATATATCATATTTGGTACTGTAATTATATATTTTACACATTTAAATAAATATCCCAAAATTATATTTAAATTTTGATTTTGTTAATTAATGTTTGAACACTAACGTTATTTTGATTTTCTCATAACTTTAAAACAATTTTTTAATAAGTTTTAAATTTAAAATAAATCATTTCTACGTTAAACTAAATTGTCTCTCTTTAAATCTTACTTGTCCTCTTATTGGGTGGACGTACAAGCATATAGATTGGCCCCAAATATCGCACTTACAGAGGAAGTCAAATAAATTATTTATCAATAATACCTGTTGATCCCTATATATGCTATTTATAAATCAAATAAAAATAAATCATAATAGTAGTAATTAACAATTATAAATATATTGTTTTGTGATTACTACCTGTTAACTATTGTCAAAAACAGAGATGAAAATAATTTATAAAATTGTTTTAATATACTTTGTAACCCACTAATTCAGAAATGTTTATGATATGATGCGACTAAACACTGAAAAATACAATAGCATTAGCTATCTTTAAATTGCAAGAAATTCTATATTTACAGTTATAATTATTTTATTTCTATTAAACTATATATCTTTTATGAATATATGTATAACTTATCATGCTTGTTATTGCATTATGAAATAAAGATCAATTAAATAATTTAAGGTCAGAAAAGCTAATTTTTTATTTAGTAAGAAAGTAAAAAACTTAAAATTTTTCTCTTGTTACTGATACCTACTTCCTCTTTTAAATCTCTAAACCTCTTAAAGTCATGTAACTGCAAATAATTGCTAATTGCAAAATATCCTAAAAATTATAAAAATAATTTAACCAGAAATAAAAAGTGCATCAGATAAAAAATGATGAAGTACTCTAATTTTGTTTTAACTGTGGATTTTTGTTTTGTCCTACTATTTTATTGCGCAGTAAATTAAAATGTCCATGCACCTGAGATAATTGCACTTTAAGGGAATCTGAAAGTTGCTTTTGCAATTGTTGAACCTCCAATATTTCTTGACGAAGATTTTGATAATCTTTTGTAACTTGATGAACAGACCGTAACAGACGAAGCACAGAAATCTGTTAAAAGTTGAAGAAAACAAATAACTTAAAAGCTAGATTGAGAAAAAACATAAATCCATCAAATAAATTAAATTATAATTTTTTGTATAAATATGTTTGTCTTTTAAATAGCCGACGATAAAAATTAATAATGAATAATAAACAAATGAAATAAAAGTTTAATTTACACTTTATTTTTTAATAGTGTACTAATCAAAACATACCTCGTTCTCGGGATTTTCAAATTCTTTTTCAAAAGCATCAATTTGCCATGCAATCATATCTAACTTTCCATCCGCTTTCTGAACCTGTAACATTGAACAAATTCAAAATAATTAAATTACTATTCATCAATGAACGTCGTTTCGCACTTGACATTTACAAATTAACCAGATACGTAATTCGTTAAAATTATGAATGACTATTTCCAGTATATATTTTAAAACTAATTCTAAAATTACACTTACACTTTGTTCGAGATGACCGATAGCAGATTCCATACTAATTGTTATAAATAACAAATTATTTTAAACGAAAAAAGCCGTAACTAATAGGACGCTCGTGGAAAGCCGACGGTTACTTTCTTCGCGCTTGAATCGATATGCGCTTACTGAGAAGTTTGAAAAGCGTTGAAAGGTGGATAGAAATTTTATTTAAATATTTTGTCACTCGGTGGCAGCACCTTACAATCATTTACAACTGAATAGAAACTGTTTTACCAACTGTTGCACCGAACAGCATCTCTCAACTTTAAAATTAAGCTACACGCAATTTACAATTATCTCAGTAATATATTTTCAAACCAGTTTCATTTGTTTAGAAGTCATAATCGACCAGAATGACAATTTAAATTAGTAACTTAAAACAATTTAAAATAAATAAGTTTCTTTATGTAATTGAAATAAAATCACAATTGGAATTTTTAGAACAACCTTATACGTATTGAGCTTGAGAACCATTGACGGAATATCTTGTAACACTTATGCATATACATACATTCATACATTCCATACGAAATACGAGATAGTATGTATCTATAAATGTCACAGTGTCGGATGATTTAACCAGACGTTGAAATAGTTTTGATACAAAGATCGTTAAGTGCAAGCTACACTGAGAAATGGCCAGTCAAAATTACTTAAGCGATCCAAAAAATCCATTTTTTTCTCTCGAGGATGATATCGACGACGAAACGTTTTTAAACAGTGCACCTCCAAGGTCTTCTGGTCGTGGTTTCAATCATTATAACAATTTCGATAATGATCTGGAACAAAAGCATCAACAATTACTTCAAAGGAAAAAGGAAATAGAAGAACGCACAATACATTCCTCAGAAAGGTCTATTTCATTGTTAAGAGATTCTGAACAGATTGGAGCTGCCACTGCTGAGGTAATTCCAAAAATCACAATTTAATTGCAGTAATAACTCCTAATTGAAGCAATCTTTTGTCTTGTGTCATATCGCGCGTAATTATCAGTTTAATGAATGTAAGAGAATTGTTTTCATTTAATTTTAGTTGATAATCAAACAGTATTTTTATAAAATTTGCGCATTTCTGTTTTATTGACAGAGTTATTTTACTTACTATAAATATTAATGATTTTATTTCAGGAGCTTATTAGACAGAGAGAACAATTAGAAAGAACAGAAAAAAGATTGGATGATATTAATAGTACCTTAAGATTTAGTCAGAAACATATTCAAGGAATAAAAAGTGTTTTTGGAAGTCTTAAGAACTATCTTAGCGGTAAATCATTGGATGCACCTATACCGTCAACTATATTGTCGGAATCTTCTAGCTCTGAATCTATGGCATCGCCTGCTTTATCTAATTCTTTGGAACAAGTACAGACTAATATAGCTAATACAAGTCCAGCGTTGAAATTACGTGGCATAGATGACGATTTTGAAGGTAGTAATTCACCCAGCAATAATGTAAGCAAGGTTTTGGAAAAGAATTTAGATGAAATGAGTGGTTCGTTAGCTAGATTGAAAGGGTTAGCAATAGGACTATCTGAAGAAATAGATTTACAAAATGACTTAATTGATAATATAACAGATAAAGCAGAAAATACTGATATAACGCTTCAGAAACAAAACAAAGATCTTACACATTTATTGAAAAAATAAATAAATATCCTACATTTGTAATGAAAATAATTATGAATTTCACATATTCGAAAGCTGTAAACTTCTGTGTAATCGTATGAAAAACATTACTTTCCTTAGTTAAGTCTGGAAAATATTACACATAGTGTTTATTTCGTATTGTTTTGTAAAATATAATTTATAATGATGTAAAATATTACAGCAAAAAACACAAAAGAAATAATGCACTTACATACTCATTCAAGTATCCATTTCTTTTGTACCTACTACGTATGACATGAAATATTTAAATTTTAAGTTGAATTTGTCATGCAAATCGTTTTCTTTGCTTGCATCAAGTCAATTTATTTCCAACTTTCCTATGAAAATTGCTGAAGTGATATCTTAACAATATATTTTTGTTAAAGTTTAAAATAAATTTTTTGTTAAGTGGACCCAGAATTATAAAAGATACTGTGATAAAAATTCAGATGTAAAAAATAAATAATATTGGTATTTTATGACAATTCGATGTCATTATTGAATTTTAACAAAGTTACTGAAAAATTGAAAATTACTCTGAATAACATTTAAATTGGAAAAACTTCATATAAAAACTAGAATTTTATATTTTTTAAAATATAGTTTATTCGAATTATAATAAGTAAACGTTTCCCACTGTAGGAATAAATATATACATATATATGATTTTAAAAGTAATGCTTTTTTTATTTAAAAATTACTTTGATTGTAATGATTTAATATGATATTTTTGCTATGCATTTTATATCATTTACAATAAAGTGTATTACAACAGATCAATTTATTTTATAGATATCTTAATATTAAAAAATGTAATTATACTTGATAAACCAAATTTTGTAAGTAAATGTATTCAGAAAAATTATATATATATTTGTTTTAGTTTAAATTAATGTAATTACACATACAAACATAACTTATTTGGCCTATACATATATTTCCCTGAAAATGATTAATTGTAATAAGAAATGTACAAACATTTATACAGATTATAATTGTTGTTTATGAAAATCTACTTTTTATTATTTTTGTTATTATAAATTAAATAATCTGCAATACATAGTTGTAAAGTAATGATACCATAAATTTTGATAATAATGTGAACATAAATATAAGATACATTGTATAATTTTAAAAATATAAATGCATACACATACTACCAATGAAAAAGTTCCATTTAAACATTTGATAATTGTTTTATATATTCAGAAATTGTAATGCAATTGTATGGTAAGTTATATGTAGAAGAAAAGTATATAGAACTTATATAAGTAAAACTTATTAAACCCACTGCCACTGTTATTCAACGTATTTTAAATATATATATGTGTATATTATAGTTATTAAAGCATAAGCAACGAATATGGAAGATTATATTATATATCTATATATCTTCAATATTTCTTGATATAAATACATTTCATGATATGAATCTTTATACACAATGTTAATATTATATTATTATACATATAGATGTATGTACAAATGTAATAAATTTATATATAATTGTCTGATAAGGTACTGAAAATTATAAAGTTTATTCACATTTATGATGATGCTTTATTTTTGCCTAAAACTATCATTTCTCTAATATAATATTTTCATTAACATATTTCTGTTCTACTAAACTCATTTGTTTCTCATTTTCTACTCGTTATTATTTTTGTATCAAAATATTATGCCTGATCAGTAGCCTCTCCACCTGTAAATAAATAAAATGATTAAAATAGTACTTCATCTAAATCCTAAAATATATATATATATCTTAAATACTAAATATTCAATATAACATAAGTATTTTTAAATTTAATAATTTTATAACATAAATCAGCTTCAAATTTCAGGTGTATTAATGCATCTGAATTACCTGCAGCTGTACTATTGTTAGTAGTTCCACCCTGATTTCCATTATTTGGCCATTGTCTACGACCTCCTCTGCAGCCTACTTTATCACCATGATGTGCAACCGCAGAAGGTTGAAGATTTGTAGATATTGCACATGTCTATTAGTAGAGAATAAAAATATTACATAAAGAACCATATGAATAATTGTATTTGTGTTTAATAAAAAAGAAAAAAAACGTGCAATGATTACTATAGTAATAAAATTTGAATTATTGAAACAATAAAATATTTCATGAATGTATCAATACAATCATATCAGTAGATAAAGGAACGCCCTCAACGCTATTGATAATTTTGAAAATTATACCGTTTATCAATAGTTTCTACTTTCAATATCAATCAATAAAACTCAAACAAAATAATTATAACAAATATTTTTTATAAGAAAAATGAAAGTAAAAGTTCATATAATATTAATAATATACCGTGCAGAGCAATATAAAAAGAAACAAATGTATGTTAAACAACTTCATCTCAAAATAGTTGAATTTAAAAAGACTGTCATAGCTTGATCGTACCTCTATTTATACTTATTGCATAGTACCATTATAATGTTTATCTTTCATCAAAAAAGTACTTATGTTAGTGTAGTGACATTTCCTGTAATTTTCTACATGAAGTAACATATTTTTTATTTGTGCTTTACTATTGTACACCAATTAAACTGCACCTTATCTCGTAGAAATAATCAAAATAAAGGTATACAATTTTGAGTACACCGGAAGGAAATAAAAAAGCATGAAATAAATAAAGAACAATTTTTAAAACTTAAATGTGTATTATATAATTTGTTTCTCTCATCCGAATTATTTTTATAAGTTTCAACATTCTTTTAACGTAAATTTGTGCTCGAGTATTAACAAAAATTTATTTATTAAACTTATAGATACAATTATTTATTAATATGTATCTACAATTTATAATATTTCATATTGAATTCAAATAATACTTTCACGCAAAAGTTCGCAATTTATTCTGTTTTAAGCGGGAAACATAGGTGGGAAAGGGAAATATTTATAAACTTTCTTTATCGATCGATGTATTTTAACAAAATATATTTTATAACTGTTATTTCAAAATTCGTTACTAACAATCCAATTTCATTATTTTATAGAACTTTTATACTAAATAAATATTACAAAATATTTGGTTGACACAGGATATGAATAAATTTCTTTGCTGTTTAAATATTCTAATATATATTGATTATTATTCATTACTTATAATTTGTGTTACAAATACGATGTAAATTACTTTGTACAGGATATTTATTAGAAAAAGCTGTATATAAAATTATAAGTAAAATTATGTATTACATGCTTTCCCTTACGGGTTTAAATTATTTTTTTGAATATGTTATCGATAAATCGAGAAGAATAATATCGATATTAAAATCGAGATATAATAACCAGAAGTTGATAATCGATATCTCGATATGGAAGTATACACAAGTATAGAGTTTCTAGTAACTTCTATAAAATTGATTACTTCAAACGAGGTAAAAGAGTGGATGGTTTCTGGAATCGTCTATCCTTAGACGGAGTATTTGAAAAATACTAATAAAGTGCATCTTATTGCTAAAGTATTACACGAGGAAATAAAAAATGTGAGTGTTTCATAATTTTGTCAGTAAGGTTTGAATATTTTCATTTAAATTTTGGAATAGAAATGTGCCCTATATTTTTACTTCTCATCATTACGATCACTAATCACGTTACTATTAAAAAACATAATTACTTATTTTTTGTGATCACTTTATTTTGTTGTTATGTCTAAATAAATTTGTTTTAAATTATCATTTATTGTATAGTTATCTTGAAACGTGTTATTTGTGATAGATTAAAATATTAAAATAAAAATTAAGTACTATTTATAAAATATATTTGTTTTATGTTAGAATGGCTGCAGTAGACATTTCACCTAATAAGGATGGTGGTGTTCTGAAAGAAATAATTAAAGAAGGTGTTGGAGATGAAACTCCAGCACCCGGAAGTAATGTAATAGTCCACTATACTGGCACTCTTCTGGATGGAACAAAGTTTGATTCAAGCAAGGACCGCAATGAACCATTTCAGTTTGAATTAAAGAAAGGAAGTGTTATTAAAGCTTGGGACATTGGAGTAGCTACTATGAAAAAAGGTGAAATTGCGATATTGACCTGTGCTCCTGAATATGCATATGGAAAAAATGGCAGTCCACCTAAAATCCCTCCAAATGCAACGCTTAAATTTGAAGTAAGTTGTTTTTCAAAGTTACAATAATAAATTGTTTAATTAATTAAAAATATTCAGTATTTTAAATGTTTAATTCATGTTTACTTATGTTGTTTAATATTATAAATATTTTTTAGATTGAAATGATTGATTGGAAAGGAGAAGACTTGAGTCCTGATAAAGATGGCAACATCGAAAGATATCAGATGATACAAGGAAAAGACTATGTTACGCCACAAGAAGGAGCTTTAGTAAATGGTAAATATAACTATTTATTTGAATATTATTTTTAACAGATTTGAAAATAGCAAATTAATAATGAATTCGTTCTTTTCCAGTACATTTAACTGGAATGTATAATGATAGAGTATTTGAAGATAGAGATGTCCAATTTTCTCTTGGAGAAGGAGAAGATTATGGTGTTATAGAAGGAGTAGAAAAAGCCCTAGAAAGTTTTAAAAGTGGAGAGAAATCAAGACTTAAAATTAAGAGTAAATATGCATTTAAAAATGTCGGAAATCCAGCATTTGACATTCCACCAAATGCAACTGTAGAATACATTGTAGAATTGAAAAGTTTTGAAAAGGTAATTATTTTATTAAAATATTATAATATAAGTTTGAAATAAATTATAACGATTAACATACACATTGCAGGCTGTAGAAATCTGGTCCTTAAAGACTCACGAAAAAATAGAGCAAGCTAAAATTTTCAAAGAAAAAGGAACTGCATATTTCAAAGCAAATAAGTACAATTTAGCTATTAAAATGTATAAAAAGGTCATTTCGTTCTTGGAATACGCAGAAGGCTTTGAAGGGGATCTGAAAACAGAAAGAAATAACCTTCTTTTATCCGCTCACTTGAATCTGGCACTATGTTACTTAAAAACAGATCAGAACGTTGAAGCGAAGGATGCCTGCAGTGAAGCTTTGAAATTAAGTCCACAAAACGAGAAAGCACTGTTTAGAAGAGGACAAGCTTATCTTGCACTGGCATCACCTGAAATTGCAATTAAAGATTTCCAAGAAGTTTTTAAGATTGAACCAAAAAATACAGCAGCTGTAAAACAAATTGGCGTTTGTAATAATTTGATTAAAAAACAATTAGCAAAAGAGAAAAAATTATATGCCAATATGTTTGACAAATTTGCTCAAGAGGATAAACAGGTTTGTGAAAAAGAACCATAATGTTACGATTTAATATGGAATACAAGTGTTTAATTTTGTACTGTTACTTATATAAGCTCTATTTAATTTCCATATGTGTAATGTTAATAATTGGTAACAAGGTGTCTTTTGTTTATAATTTATAATAAAGAAGATATTTAATGTACAGTATTGTTGATTAAACTTTATATGATAGCCAGTATGTACTTAAAATTTTTATTCCATATTTATATTGATACGTTTCACCATAAATTCTTAGTAATGTCATAGAAGGAGGAGGAGAAGCTGCGAGAACAACCAGATGTGATGCGTGGGGCTCTAGGTGAATGGGGTCAAGAAGAGCGACCTGGCGGCAGGGATGCAACTGCCTTTGAAAAGGAGAATCCTAACATACTCATGCTCAACGCTAATGGTACTGGTGAATTTCAAAACATGTAAAGATTCTCCTTTCCTCTGCTTACAGTGCCCTACTCTTAACTGCCAGCAATTTGAAATTCTGTTAACTACCGAGTTTCAATGCCTTCCAAGTAATTATTTTCCCAGTATATAAAAGTGCATCTCATAACTTTTATTAGTATTTTATGATATATGATACAACCTAGTCGACAAATTTTATACTTAACATAATTAATAAATAAAATTTTATTATTTATCATGTTTATCTTTTGTTGAAACCATAATAACATTAATTGTGATATAATATTTCATTTCATGTTTATTTTATAGTTTTGGTTAGTGTCAGTAGCATTAATTCATAAATTCTCTAAATCATGATGTTTACATTCGTAATACTACATGTGATTTATTTCATGCAATTGTAAATACAGTATGACAAAGCTTAATAATATATAATTCTTGACCATATGATATTCCTTGCTTTCATTTCCCTGTACATAAATGATATTGTACGCAACTGTATCATTATCATATAATAAAAATAGAATATTTTTGTAAACATTATATTATTAAAAATTGTGGAAATTAAGTTTATTGTTAAATATCGACTCCTTTATTTTACAACAAATAAATTTCTTTTAAGTACATAAATCTCATACACCTTCCTTTAATGTAACTATTTTATTAACATTAAAGTTACTTATCCCAATCAGTTTTTATAATTAAAAATTTTTAAATAGAATCAGGAATCAATTATGAAAAATCTGTTTTAATATTCGCGTAGGGGTGTAATGTTATGTTTTGCGTAAACGACATTCTATTCATTTTTTTCTAGAAAGATTAATTTCCATATTTCTTTATGTATATATGTACCGGTTGAATATTTACATTTGCTGTTTAATTTTTGCAAATGTAAGATAAAGATATAAATAGGAGTATCCTAAGCAGTAAGCAATTTCTGCTAACTCGCTTAGCAACAGTTAAATGTCGATGCAGCAATAAGATACGACAAAGAAAGTATGTAATAATTTTAGTTAATTTAAACTCTACTATCGCAGCAGGTAACAGAATTTTTCTTTTGTTATTAAGTTGCTTTATAGAGAATTTAAAAAATAGATAATGTGAAGTTGTATAATGTTTAAATTTTAAAGATTACGGAATAGTTTAATTGAACCCATTTAAAACAAACAATGCCTATTATTGTTTAAACTGTAGTTTAGTATTATTTACGCCGGTTTTACTATTGGATGTTTTACATTATTTAATAAATACTGAAATACACCTTATTGGTAATTTTTGTTATTTAACATATTTAAACCAATAGTATCTTTCCATGGCATTACTAATACAAACAGATCAAGAGTATACGCGTATATACTTAAGGAGATCATCGCGATACAACACATTCACACGATCTTTATTGCTTGTAGGAATCATTCGAAATCGACAATAATTGTTGGAAGTGAAGTGCAAAAATAATCTATTATCAAGATGCCTAACATTATAAATGATATTAAATTGGATTTTAAAGATGTTTTATTACGTCCTAAAAGAAGTACATTAAAAAGTAGATCTGAAGTAAGTAATAATTAAAGCTCATAGATTCACAGCCCACATTAACAATATTGTTTTAATAGAAATTACTAAAATTAGCATAATTCATTTTGGCAACTGTTCCTTCTTATTTTAAAAATTGTATTATTAACATAGACTTGTAACAATTAAATTAATATCATGTTTATTACACACTTTATCTTGTAATAAGTGATCAAGCACATATAATTCTATATACATTTTTATCTAAAAGTTAATTAAGTAGATTTACTAATATTTTTTAATAAATGATGATTTATAATTTTAGGTTGATTTATATAGAGAAATTACATTTCGTAATTCAAAACAAACTTATAGAGGAATACCTGTAATGGCTTCAAATATGGATACAGTAGGAACATTTGAAATGGCAAAAGTTTTATCAAAGGTATATAATATTTATATTTAAATTAAGTACAATCTTATATTTTTTTAAATTTATAGAATGTTGATAAAATTCATATTTTTATATTTTAGCATGGCTTGTTCACTACTGTTCACAAATATTACACGGCAGAAGAGTGGAAAGAGTTTGCTGCCAAAAATTCTGACTGTCTTAAAAATGTAGCCGCAAGTTCTGGCACAGGGAAAGAAGATTTCGAACGATTATCAAACATTCTAGCAGCTGTTCCTGAATTATCTTTTATTTGTTTAGATGTTGCCAATGGATATTCACAACATTTTGTTGAATATGTTAGAAAAGTGAGATCAGAATATCCTAGGCACACAATAATCGTAAGTAGTTGTTTATTTAAAAAATTTGTTAACAGAAGACAAAGAGAATACTGTTCAATTTTTAGTACTAATATGCCTTCTATTTAAGAGTAAAGATTAATTACCGCCATTGCAGGCAGGAAATGTGGTAACAGGTGAAATGGTAGAAGAGCTAATACTATCTGGAGCAGATGTGATTAAAGTAGGAATTGGTCCTGGATCTGTATGCACTACGAGAATGAAAACTGGTGTAGGGTACCCACAAGTAAGTGCTGTGATTGAATGTGCGGATGCTGCTCATGGCTTGAAAGGACACATCATTTCCGTAAGGAATCAAAAGACTGCATTAAATATTTCTATACTAACTTTTTACAAAAAGACAAATAATGTATATTTTATCATTTTGCTTAAGGATGGAGGTTGCACTTGTCCAGGTGATTTAGCAAAGGCTTTTGGTGCAGGGGCAGATTTTGTAATGGCAGGTGGTATGTTTGCTGGACATGATGAATGTGGAGGAGAAATTATAGAGAAGAATGGGAGAAAAGTTAAACTTTTCTATGGTATGGCTTCAAGTACAGCAATGAAGAAACATGCGGGAGGTGTTGCTGAGTACAGGTTGGTATTTATACAGAGTATCTCAGAAAAAACGATAATTCCGTGGTTGTTTAAAGCTTCATTTTTGAATTATTAACGAAAGACACTGTCCAATTAGAATGTGTGTGAAGCGCGCACTTAACTGTGAAGACGTTGGTACTGTTTACGTTCGAAATGTATATAGTCATAAACAAGCGCTACCACTTTTTCTGTGACACCCTGTACATGTATATACAGTATATGTAGAGCACAGTAGGCTTTTCTAAGGAAAATGGCGTTACAGGGAAAACAAAAATTCTAAAAACCTTAATTTTGATGATATTAATATTAAATGTGATTTAGAAAAAAAGTAACAATTTTTAATTGTATTATTAATTGTATTATAAAATTTAGTATATAACTGAAAAGTACTTACAAATAACAAAGTAAATATTAATTCAAATTTTCCCGCGTAAACGTTTAGGCATAAGTAGTGAGGAGCCACATACCTCTCTCTTTCTCTATTATATATATATGTATATTTGTACAACAAAGAGATATGATAGTTATATGAGAGAAATAATGCGATATAATATTATCTGTAATCTGTATGATCGCCATTTCCCCTGCGGAAGCCTACTTTGCTTGATGCTGTACACACATGTACAGCGTGATTTTATATTTTTAATTCCAAGCTTATAATTTTTTTAGATCGTCCGAAGGTAAAACGGTGGAAGTACCTTATAAAGGATTTGTGGAAAACACTATATTAGACATACTTGGTGGTTTACGTTCTGCTTGCACCTATACAGGAGCTCAAAAATTGCGTGAATTACCGCGTCGGGCTACATTTATACGTTGTACACAACAGTTAAATCCAATGTATGGTCCACCTCCAGAAATCTGAATTTATTTTAATCATCTAATTTGATGTAGTAGAATTTTAGAAAGAAATATTTACTTATTCAGTCAATTAACAAATACTATTATTTGCTGGCAAATAATGTTTATGAAAAAATTTAAAAGCTGTAACTAACATACATGTATTGTATACATTTCAATGATAGCTTGAAATTGTATTAAATTTAATGAGTTCTGAAAGGTAAAGTTTAAAAGCACAAATATATTTTCGTGTTCTTATATTTATATATTCTTTTTACAAATTTTTCATGTTTAACTGTACATACATATATACATACATGTATATTGTTCTATTTTATTAAACATATAAGTAGAATCTACTAATGTTAAATTAAATTATTTATTCTACAACAACTGCAAATGCATTTTTAAAAATGATTCTGTAAAACCAACTGTTTCATACACATGTGCATGTAGCTTTTAATTAGTTAATGAAATATGTATATATGTATAAAGTGAATTTTCAAATAATTCATGTGTGTAGTACAAGTTATTTTAAATATGTGTATTAAAAAAATGTATGCCATTTAAAATGTTTAAACTAAAACATATTAAAGCTGGAACTCTGGAAATAATCTGACCATTTCTTTATGCGTATTAAAAAATAATTACTAATTAATTTTTTTCAATTCGTATATGATTTAGTCAGAAAGTAATAGTTTTACCAACCTTGCACTACAATTGTATTTGTTTTCTTCTACAAATCATAGAAGTCAGTACTTCACAAAAATTTAATTTGTACCTACTGCTTGACTTTCTTCATTAAGAATATTAGAAAGTTTATCATCCTTGTTCCTGAAACATTTTCATTAGATTTTAGTTGTTATTTCAATTATAAGAAATATATTTTATTTCTAACAGGTTCCTGTATAAGATTTAGTTTTTACAAATATAATCTTATGTTTTTGTTAGTACACAGGGTAAATTTATAATTGATTGAAATATTTGATAACAAGTATTTATCTTTACTTACTGTAATTATAAACTGCAATTGACACACAAAAAATAAGTACAGTTGCTGTAATATAAAATGAAAATAATTTTTTTTAACATTCAAGTATCATATTGACATTTTAATCATACATTTTTTAATTGCATTCATTTAAATCTTAAATGACAACACGCAGAAATATATAATAAACAAAAATAATGTCAAAACTATAACTGAAACAAAAAGGATAAATCATAATATGAATAATTTTTCTTTCTATTATTTATATTCAATTTTATAATAAATGTGAAGTAATATTAAACTTATATATTGATTATCAGAAATACATAAATAAAAAGGTATTTGTATAACATATAAAATATACTAAATAAGTTTATAGCTAAATAATTATATAATATAAACAAGCCTTTTATCCTAAAAATTAAACGTGTTTAACAAAATGTTAATTTTTAACAGAACATAATATTAATATACACTAAAATATTTTATGAGTAAAAAATAAATGATTTCTCTATAAATTCATACATATCTGATATGTATAACTATGATTTACCTTTGAACAAAACGTAATACCTTTTTCTGTCATGAAAATGTAAATTCATTACTGTTCAGTTACAAATAACAATGTAAAAATCATGAATAACTATTTTTATTGTACTTTGCCTACATCTTGATCATAATATTCAGCAATAAAATTGCATTAGTCAATAAGAAAAAAAATAATGTCTTCTTTTACTCACACTACTTAAAATTGAATTATACAAGAAACCTAGATTTGTTTCAGTTATTACATAAAATATTAAAACAAAAATGTAACATAAGATTTTTAAACATTTCTGCAAGTATATCTTTTCTTACTAATATGATATGACAATGTAAAAAAATGTTAAAATTATACATAAAAATCTGTAGATTATACTTTTTAAATATTAACACCATACAAATAATACCTTGATTTTTTGTTTTCTGATCTTATGATTTTAATATAATTGAATATTTAAAATTGTAATTCCGATCAATTTTTAAATGATTTGAAATGGAAATTTGATATATGACTAGTAGAATCTGTTAGTGATTAATACATCTGTGTAAATAACTATTTAATAAAATAAAAAACAATATACATACATACATATAACTATGTAAGTTATATAGAATATAGTGATTTGATATGCCATCCATTATTCTCCGGTTTTGCAGGTCCTAATTCCTTTGAATGTAAACACACAGAATGCTGAATGAAAGATTGAAAATTGTAGGTCCCCTTGATGAAATTAATCGTAGAGCAGGTAAACGTTTCCTACAATTGGCAGCTCCAAAAATCTAAAATAGTAGTGGTATTTGACAAGAAAAAGCAAAGGAACCAAGGTAAAATTGTATTTAGTATTGTTATAATAGTATATATGTATATGTAGACCATCATACGTGTATCATATTCTCTTGCATACATAATAGATAAAACAATTGATCGACAATAAAAACGAATTCTAGCTGTTTTCACCAGCCATTTATACTATAACGTTTCCTAATTTACTAAAGACAAATGTTTCATGAATAACCCAGTGAAATATAAATAATGATATTTCGAAATAAGTATCTAAATGTTTTTCTTATCAATACATTTGTAAGGATAACTTTTAGTATTTTTAATGATAAATGGGAAGCATAATATGGATATACTGTTGTAGATTCCTCGTCCCTGTTTCTGACCTGCTGCTTCTCACCTGCCAGTTTCAATTTATGTTACAATCAGGCGTTATGGAACAAAAATACATACAATAATATAAGTAGAACACAAGTAGACATCATATGATATTATATTATAATGATAAATTTCTGGCATTTCTCGTTACTTAAAATTAAAAACCATGAGTATCCTACAATATGTATATTATCTATGTATATAAAAAACACAAAATATTATAGTATAAATAGAACATAGTCGAGCCTAGTGGTATTTTTGAAAGTTAATGGGTGTTGCGAAGCGATCAACTATCGTAATTTATCGTAAACAGTATATGAAGTTACAGCAGGCATTTAACCGCATCCTGATGGGAAACTATCTGAAAACTATCTGAAATAAACAAATAATTATGATAAAACATATGAACCAGATATAAATGTAAATATACTTTCAAAGGTGTAAAATATATCATTTGAATATCCAGATATATATATGTATATATATATAAGTATATCAAAAAATAAATTTATTATTTTTATTAATATTTAACTCCCTGAAAGTATCAACAGTTATCAGCACATATATGGCATTCCCCTACTCTTACACCATTGATTTTCAAAATAAATAACAAATATCAAGTCAATATAAATATAAGTGATTTGACAAAACAAAAATTTATTAATATTAAATTACAAAAAAATATTTTATATAATTTTAATTTATTTTATTCTATAATGTTTACATGTAAAAAATTATATTTATCTATTTTTATGCAAAAATATATTCAGAAATGGTTTCTGTTCCACTCAATTTTATATTGACTTAATGTAAGTGATTTTTAAAAAAACTGCATGATGTAAAAGAGACATAATTAATATTTAATCTTTTAGTATATAAAATGATATTAAAAGTTATATGGAATTGAAACAAAACCTTTTACATCATACAAGTTTTTAATTACGTATCCAAGTATGAAACATGAACATAAATACTTACAGCTAGTTTTTCATGATGGAAGTTTAACTTTCTGTATTCGCCTGTGAATATGGATAGTTCTGATAGCCCGCTGGGAACGATGGATTTTGTTGACCCGCTTGTGGTTGTGTGGTAGAACCAGCCCCCGCTGCATAATAACCCGTCGGCGTTGAACCAGCGTTTATCGTTGGATAACTACCATAAGCTTGTGGAAATGCGTTCGGAGTTCCACCTCCTGGACCTGATTGACCTTGCATACTCTGTTGCATTTGCTGTTGAGCCATTTGATTGTTTTGCATTCCCAACTAAAAACAAACGGGCATGTCGAATTGATATTTCTTCTATTTTGTTGAAGATTGTTTTTTTTAAATCACGAACATACTTTCCCTGCTTTCATTTGAGCTTCTATAGCTTCGGCTTCTTTTATTTTACCAATACTCCTATAATACTCTGCCCATTGTGCACTATAATCAGCTTGGCCTCCATTTTGAGTAGCTCCACTTTGTTGCTGCTGTTGCTGTGTTTGTTGTTGTTGTTGTTGTGGAGTTGGTCCAGCGGCACCAGCTGTCGATGTGTTAGATTGATTTTGCGTATTTCCTACAAATGTAAATTGATAATTATAAATTTTTAAAGAAACGCATGATCAAGTCTTATGCTTATCGCATATGGTTTGAATATTTAACCTGATTGCTGACTGTGATCTTGTTTGCCTTGTTTTGCTTGTTGTTCAATCATGTCAGCTTCCCTATGCATACCAAGTGATCGGTAATACTCTGCCCACTGTGCACTATAATCTGGTTGTCCTGTTTGTGGATTTACTTGAACAGGTGCTTGATTTGCATTATCTAAAATAAGGTTTAAAATACGATACGTAATGTTAGAATACCTGTATTTTTTTGTTTGCACATATAAACAATATATTTACTTGTATCAGTAGTTTGTGGTTGACTTGGCCACGCTTGATATGCTGTTCCAGCATTCCATGTTGGATTATATCCAATTGCCCCTTGTGTACCACTAAATGATGTGTTAGCTGGAGCCTTTAATTTATTAAGATCGATAAATAACCGAGAAATTAACATTGTTAAATGTTATATTATGAAAATATTTACCATGCCTAATTTTTCACTAAATATTCTTTTCGCATGCTCTACTTGCTCGGGATTGCCACGAATTATGAAAATTTTCTCATTTTCATTGCTCTGATTTCTCCTGTCTAATTCACAATGTGCTCCAGTTTGTTGATTTATTTGTTTAATAGTTTCGCCGCCTAAAATAATTAAAACATACTTGTTAAAACATTGTTTTCATAATTATGAATTAATCGAATTTTACCTTTTCCAATAATAATACCACATTTTGATGACGGAACTGTAAACGTCGTTTCTATTTTATCTTGCATCGGTCCTCCTTGACGTCTATCCCATCCACCATATTCATTTGGATTTCGATTGTTACCGAAACCGTTTCCTCGAGGACCACTTCTTGTCCCCATAGGACTTCTACCATCGTCTCTTCTCTGCAAAAGAAAAAATAATCAAAGATAAAGAATAATCTTATGTATTTATAAAATATGATAGTATAAACTAACATCAAATTTATCATTTACCATTACACTATCAATAAGTTCTTGAATACGCTGACGAACTTGTTCTACAGCTTGATGTTTTCCAGATAATATGCATTTTCTATCACCAGGACCATCTTCTCTTCCCTGTTGAAACTGGACTCTAGCGCCAGTTTCCGCTTGTATTTTTTTAATCATATCTCCTCCCTTACCAATAACAACACCCACTGCTGCTCTTGGAACGAGTACCTTATAAAAATATTTACTGATATGAATATGTACTTATAAGAGGACATAAATGCTTGAATATTTTCCTAAACACGTATCGTCGACATATTTATAAAAGGTATATTATACCTCTACTCCATCAGTGGTTCCAGAACCATGATTAAAACTACTATCACTCGAGTAACTTCCACTCCTATCATTACCCCTTGCACCTCTATGAAACATTTGCATTTCTTTTTCAGCTATTAATTCATACACTAATTGTTTGGCATATTCAACTTTTTGTGGATCACCAGTTATCCTATTTAAAAAAAAATGCATCTATAGCTTTTGCTACTTTCTACTCTTTTAGATTTCAATAGTAAATTTATTTGAAGTAAATAACGAAGTAAAAATAGTATCAGTTATTACCTTAAAGGTTTTTCTTGTTCCTGTGAAGGTCCTTCTTGAATAACGACCATTTTGGCTCCAGACTTCTCCTGAAGTTGTTTTATCGTTTCTCCACCTTTTCCAATAATTAAGCCAACTTTAGGTCCAGGAATCATTATTTCGACAAATCCTGGGTGCCCCATCATTCCACCGCTACTCCCACCGCTCATGTTCATATCACCAATTCCTTCGGTTCTACTTCTTTGATTTACAATTGATAATACCAATTCTTTAGCTCGACTGAAACATATATAATTTAAACGTGCAATGTGATTTTGAATAGACTGTAACATAAATATAATCTATTGATGTACGGTAATGTAATTTGTTTGCAACACATAATGTGATGTCTACTGTGTGCCAAAATATAAAAAATCATGAATGTTACATTATTTCTTTTGTTCAACGAAGTTATTTCATAAGTGTATAATAAAATTAAATTTCATGTTAAAATGTTGTACACTTAATTATAAGCAGATTCAAATAAATAAAAAATTCAATGTTCTTCTTGTTGCGAATAACACGTCCCCATGCATATCCTATCCTCCTTCCTTCCTTCTTTCTCTCCATATCCTATTGAAAGCAAAAAACTATTAGTAAGTACAAAATTATTAAAGTAAAAGCCACAACTTATTGATAAATTCTTAATGAAAAAATATTCTGAAGCATGTATAAAGTATGAGCCCGCTATTCGCATCCAGGAGCTAAATAAAGATTCTGTAAAACATTTGACAATTTCAATTTGCAAAAGCATGTAACCTACACTTAAGAAATGCATGTTAACATGAATTGATAGCATATGGAGTATACTAAACACACACAAACTATATTTCACCAGTACTATGTGTGCTCCAAGCACATTTTCAAATGAATACAATCAATGTATATAAAAGCATCATAATCTTATACTACAACACCACAATGTGATTTTCAAAACCATTTTGTCAGAATGAAATAGTTGATACTTTCAGGTGTTTCTAGGAGATTTTATAATGGAACTAGGTGGTCAATTTGTTATTTAAGTAAATTAGAATCTAATCAATTTCCTATATACCAAATACAAGGAGGATAGCAGCTTGTTTTCCTGTATATGTGTTTATAAATAGATATGTACACACGTATATGTAAATATATATTTATATGTATGCACATATCACTCTACGTATATATATATATACATAAGTATATGTACAGATGTAGAATATATATATATATATTGCATTATGAGTGTAATCAGTAAGTGCCAGTTGATATAACACCATGAAGTAATCCTTTCTTCTAGGCAAAAGTTTGTAAAGTGGAGAATTGCATTGCATACAAAATAGTTAAAATTAACAAAATAAGAAGGGAAAAATAAGTTACTTGACAGCTTCTCGTGAGCCAGTTAATGTGCAAACACGTTCAGGTAGCCCACTTTCTGGTGCCATCTGTATCTTACATCCTGTTTCACTTTGTAATCTTGTTATTTGTTCTCCGCCTCTGCCAATTACTGTAAATATATTATTATTAATTACAATAATCAATTTAAGAAAATGCAATAATTTATTTTTAATTTACAATTCATTTTATTATTTGTAATGCTGATGAATTGTTTCGCAACATAAAACTAATTTGGTTGTAAAATTGTTTGGACAAAAGTATAAATATGAAATGTAATGCTAAATTACAAGATAAAGTATAGATAATTTTTTTTTTTTAAATATTTAACATAACAAATACATTCATTTGTATATAATAATTCCTGTTTAACAAAAATAATATCTATAAATTCATATTTACTTACTTAAACCAACCATCTTATCTGGAACTCTGATATCTTCATTACAAATACCTCCTACATTTCCAATCGGTCCAGACGAAGATCCTGTTTGCCCTGTTCGTCCAGTTTGACTATTTGAATCTCCTAACGAATTACTTCCTGCTGGGCCACGAAGTCCTATTAATGGATCTGTTACTAATGACGCCATTTTCTTTGCTTCTGGTTCTATAAAAATAATATAAATACCACATAAACATATTTGTTACTTTATAATAATATTATGCTATTATCATTTTAATTTAACAGGAATAAAAGAAATTAGCTGTAAGTAATAGTTTTATTTGAATGTATACAATTACCTGATCCATCCTCGAGGGGACGTTTCAATTTAGTGTCTTGATTATTTTGAGCACCAGCTGGATTAATCTTAGCAGCGATCTAAGAAATAATAATGTTATTTCAACAACAAATAGAAATGTTATTAAAATGTTATAAAATATTAGCAAAATATACTTTCATTAAATTAATAGATATTATCACATATTACATAATGTTTTAACAATTAAAATGTAATTTTATTGCTTATATCATTTCTTCGTTAATTTAGAGGATAAATAATGTGTATTTCCACACAAATATATTATATATAATTAGAGTAATGATAATTCAAGATTTTCTAGCATAGTAAAATATTACCATAAACACTGAAGTGAAAGTTACAGTTTAGAGTACTTCGCAAATAAATGAGATAATGACTCAAGTATACGTTTACTATTAGAAAAAAGTGTAAACTAAAATTATTAATACTACTGAAAATGATTTATTTATTAATAATCTAAATTATATGGTTTTATAAAGGTACAAAGTACATTATAGTCTACTTACGAAATTTTTATTTAACTGAAATTTATATTACATTAATTTTTACTGATTTGCTTACCTGTTTCGCACGTTGCAAAGCTGCTGCAAATGCAGAGCTTTGGCTAAAATTCTGAGGCGGAGCAACCGCTGAATAGTCACTCATGGTGGAACATGAAGCAGCAATACGAATAGAAAACTATTTTAATATTTTTTTTTGTAAATTAGTACTAGTAATTGTTGTTAAGAAAATCACTCTAATGTTTTATTGCTTATAATCTATTTCACACAAAATATAAACAATTTAACACACTGCTTTTTAAGTACACAAAGGTACAAAGCAGAAGTTTATGAGTGAAAGAACTGTGCTTTCACATAAAGAACAGTACAGCGCAAGCGTCGGTCATAAAATAGAAATTTTAAAGATTTGGATTTCCTGTAAAAATTGATATATTAACAATTTATATATGTAATTAAAAGTACAAACTTATAAAAATATTATTCATAACGTTTAAATTATACTTACTAACATTTAAAAAAGATAAAGGTAAATGTGTTATATATGCATAAAATGAATTCAAAGAAATTATACAAATTTTAGTTATTATACTGCTTTTTAAAATGTAATTATAAATTGAATGAATTCAAGTTAAATTCGAATTTACACAAGTATATATATTACAGAAGAAATAAGTTTAAATATTTTAGATTAGATATTTCATCTCTTGAATATGCATTCTATGGATTTTCTATGTTGTTGTGTGTAAGTACTATTTTCACGAAGTAGCTACAGTTCCAACAAGTCTGAATACGGCTTTATTTCAAGGGCTCTTGAAATTGTGCCTTGAAAACAAGCGCCATCTGCTCTATCTAGTATAAAAATGTTCTCGCCAAAGATGGGTGACCGTGTACTGTTGGCAACGAATAGTGGAAAGGGAATGACGAATAAAATGAATAATGAATACGAATAAGGCAATGTGATGTAAAAAGTAATGCAAATGATTGACAAAAAGTTCGTTGGGCAAAAAGAGGGGCTAACGTCCCAACAAAGCGCTATTTTGGGGAAGGAGATTGATCAGAAAGGGTTGATCTCATTCCTACGTTGAAAACTTTACCGACAGTCCCTAGAAAAATCCCTAGAAACGTAGAACACACCATGTCATAAGTTACGTATTTCTGAAATTTGCTTCCAGTACCATCTATACAAAAACACACTAAACTATTCGACAACTTACTCCGACAGTCGGTAAGTTGCCGACTTATCGATCGACCATTTCGCAGTCGGTAAGTTGCCGGCTTATCGATCGACCGGTAAATTGTTGAGTAGTTTCTACCGTTATTGCATAGATGGCGGAGGAGTCGAATTTTTGTGGGGTGATAGTAGATAGTCTTGTTGTATCTGTAGTCACTGATTTCATTTTATGAAATAAACGTATTAGATTATGTTATTATACATTGTGGTGTTTTTAAGTTGCAATATAAACACTATATAAAATATACGTCTTGTTTTCATTTCTAAATTTGATTAAAGTATGAAATAAAATGGAAATGCTATAAACTTTACTTTGAGATAAAAATATATTTACATGTTATATACGATAACCTCATAAAATGTTTAGTTCTTTGTGTTGTAGGGGTACAACAAATTATGCCAATAAATTATACCCTTTTTATAAATTGTTAGCTAATAATGCCATCCATAAAAATTTTGTACGTTCTAAGTATACATTTAAAGTAAAAAACATAAGGTACTACTATAAATAAAAATTTTCCTAAATATGTTATTATTTTCAAATTGTTATACTATTTATATTTTGTATTCCTGTACAGGGAATACAGCCAGAATGTAAAGTCAAATTCATTATATGTAAATACAAATATACAAAATAACGTGTTGTTGTATAAATATGTAAATGTTCGATATTTTATTCTCTTTAAAGTTTTCTGTTTTGGATGGATATTATTTGCCTCAATAATATCATATTATACATATGATTCAAAATTTGTATCAACATTTTCAAAAAATATATCTTGGATGGATTATATAAAAGAAAATGGAACAAAATTATTGTACTTTGTATATGCACTAATAATAGGTAAAATATAATCTGTTTCATTTCCAAATATTAATATCATATCTTGGATGTTTAAATTCAATTTTCCCTTTCCTAATTCTATATTAAAAATCACTTATAAAATGTGCCATGTTTTAAATTAATATTATAATATATTCTTTTCTGATATTTGTATTTTGATGCTTAGGACCATCTGCCTTTTGGTTACTATACACAGCACATAAAAAATTTATAAAATATATCATTTTGCACAAAGGTGGTAAAGATGTATCTATAATCACTCATCATTTATTTAAAAGTCAAGATGTGGCTAAATTTCCTATTGAGGAAGTAAGTCTATTCTTAAATACACATATTGTTAATAATAATAATAAATACAATATGAATATATTACTCGCTATATGGTGGTTTTACAATTCAAATATTTTATATTCTTTATAATTTTTATGTATCTTTTTCCAGGTAACAGCTATTACTTCACGAAACAAAATGAAAGATTACTTGCCAATAAAAGTTAAAGGTAGATGGCTTTATTACTTACTCGATGCTGACGGAAAATTCTTAAATCCAGAATTATTTGATCATACAATTGGTATGCAAAAACGGTGGTAGATATAATACATATATGTTATGCAGAATTTGTATGAATAAATTCTAAGTAACTGACATTTATTCAATAATTGTTTTATTTTTGCCATTACTTGTATATAAACTAAAAATGTGATTGTATTATGATTAAAAATATATCATACAAATAATATTTGTTGTAAGTATATGAAATAAATAACAGTTATAATTTCATATAAAATATATTTTTATGTTATACTGCTAAGTTAGTAATATTTATAGGTACAGTTATGTATTTTCCTTTTTTCCTTTTTTACTTTGAAATTAATTTGTACAAAAGTTAGGTAGATAATTTAAACACCCTGAATATTGCATTAAATACACGTTATTAGTTTTAATATTTTTGACGGTCGTAATATTTACTAGAATACTTGCTCAAACGATCGCTATATCCATCATCGTGATATTTATCTTCTGCTTTATAATATACTTCTGGTGTTGAACCTACGTGTCCTTGCCAATATCTTGTCCAGTAAAGATCTTCTGGATTAATATCATGTGGATGCTTTGCATTTCGAAATACATGTACACAGTATACAAGACTCCCTACTAAAGTTAAAAATCCAAATACCAGAAACACTATTCCCAAAATCCTAAAAATGATTAATTTTAATTAAACATGAATATGAATTGAATGTGAAGTATAAATTGTTCATATTGATAATGTACAATCAATAACGTTTCAATAGAAAGTATACTTACCAAACTATTAATGGTTGAAAAAATTGAATGACTATAACAAATCCTAACGCGACAAGAATTAAACCAAGATTGATCAGTAACATAAGGCAGCAAACCCCCTTGGTGTTTGGACAAAAAGGGTTAGGCGTTGACATAGTTTCTATAATTATACCATTTTTTTTAGACGTATGAGATTTTACTGATTTTGCAGAACCATAACTACAATGACTAGCTGCTCGATGACCCAATCTTGAACTTGGAGTTAAACTGTGAGGTGACATGTGGCTATGAACATACGTGTAAAATAATGTTTATAAAATTATTATTTACGTATCATAATGCATATGCAAAGACTGTTATACTTTATTTCATATTTTCAACCTTATGTCTGAAGTTGTTCTGTATGCAGCGCTTGTAACATATATATCTGAACCATTGTCACATATACTACCGTGTGAAGTACTTTTATTGAGAGGATGAAGACTATGTCTTGAAGATCCAGATAATACTGAACCACGACTATTCGGTATATTTTGCAACTGTCTTCTTTCTTTCTCATATCTTTCTGGATGATCCTTTTTCATTGGTTTTACCTTGAAGTTAATCATGTTTAGATTTAAACATTATAAGCATAAAAGCTTTCATCATTCTTAAGATATAATAGAAATATATTATACACAGATTTACAATTATTATACATAAGTATGTTTTTTTCAAATTACCATTGTAGTATGCTCATTGGATACAATATATTCAGATATAGTACGATCTGATGGAGCACAATGACTTTCATTTCCATCTGTTAAATAGTCTTGACTTATACTATTATGATATCCAGGGTATCTTGAAATACTTGTCATTATAATACTTATGCTTAGATATTTTGTTTAAAAAAATCACATATTATACACAAACACATACTTGTATACATATTAACTACAGGAAATTAAAAATCTAAAAATAAAAAATAAATAAATTAAAGTTTAAACATTAACAAATAAACGTATTTATAGCATAGATATTCATAAGATGAATATTATAAATTTATTTTTATGAACAGTAATGTTTAATATATGTTTAATTCGCAAATGGGATTTATTAATTATAATTACTATTTGACAAAATAAACGTATAAACTGCTGTTTAAAATTTTATAAGAGTAACACAGCAGAAGTGACCTTCTTTGAAAATGAATTGTAAAACATTTAATTAGCATAGAATCTTTTAGTCATACGTCCTAATTGAAATACGCTTATATCAGCAAAGAAATCCTAATTTGGTGACATGATGTCATTTAAATACGAAGGTCGAATGCATCTTCAATCGAAAACAGGATCATTCTAAATGCATCCTTCTTAATTCTTATATCATTTTTTTCTTCTTGTTACACTTGAATTGCTTAAATTTTAACAATTACATATTTTTAATATATTATATGATGAATTTGTATTTTATTTGTAATGAAAGTTTGATTTCTATACGAATAAAAGCTCGTTAAACGTACGATGTATGTATATACTTATATGTAAGCATGTAAGAGATCAAGATCAAGATCAAAATCAAAGAATTTAATGCTTTCTTTTATTTTTCTTATTTTTAATAATTTCTATTTTTTTTTTTCATTTTCATTCTATTATTCAATGAACATATTATGAAAACATGAAAGGATAATGTTAAAAGTTTTACCTACGCAAGCGCCATAAATCGTGTCAACTTATACAGAACCAAATGTATACTGCTTTTAATTTATTTTTCCTTCCAATTATTTATTTTAATAGACCAGAAAAGTGGAAAATTTATCTTTAATTGAAAAATTAAATTCAATGACTTGAACGAGAAAATCGCATACACAAATGACAACATAATCTCGCATGCTGTTATTAAATAATAATATTAAATATGATTAATCATACCTAAAATATATCCATGTTGAAGAAACTTGTTGAAAGTACTATGTAAATTTTATTTGTAACTTTTTATGTGCTGATACTTATGAATTCATACATGAAATGTCTTTTTCTTGTTGCAAAATGTTGACTAAACAGAAAATAATACTGGAACATAATGGTCACTTAATTTTTAAAATATGTCTACAATATTCGGTATATTATACAATGTAACAAAAGAAACTGCTGTTTTTTAATTTGAAAGATACACGCAAAACAAGAGATACTGATTTATTCACGTTCGATCGATGAATGCGTATAGAATACAACTGCGTTTCGAAGGCTTTCACGTTGGCGGAAAGATTCCGAGGGAAAGGTGCATTTATTGCACCTTGCTGAACGAAAACGATTCGTGACGCCTTTAAAAGGCAAGGCAAGGCAACGAGCTACATGTTTCTAGAAACATATTTTATCGTTGTGAAAAAAATTGTACTTTAAATATTAATTACTTAATAATTTATAAAAGTAAATATGTATTCATTAGATGATTGTTTTATACATAAGTAGTTTTTATTAACAATATTACGACATTGGTTGGATCGTTTGCTTAAGCAATTTTTTTAATATAAATTCGTATATTACGAAATGATGATTAAACATTGTTTAAATACATATATCTGGATATAATAAATGGGTATACATTATAGCTCGGACAATATACCTACTAAGATGTTCGTTCTCTTTAAAATACTTTATATGTACATATTCCAAGTAATGTACCTAAATATCTAAATATTTTTATTAGTAGTATTTTTCACTATGAATTTTTAAATTATAATTTTATATCAACGATTGCGCATGCGTCAAAAGAAAAAAGTTTTTCTGAATCTCGCGCCAAAACTGAACCGTTTGTTTAGGTTTGAGTGTAGCTGTAACAATGATTTAAATTAAATTTTAAGTGAATCATTCCAATATCGAAAAAATATTTTTTTTATTGTTACGAAAATACTGTGATTCTATTGTTTGTGTATGGAGGGTTTGAAATGTCTCAACACGGTGCGGCTTTACAAGCGTACAATCAAGAACTTGTAAAGTGTAAATAATTTGTATCTAACCTATAATTTATAGAACTTTACAAAAGATATTGGTTAATTGTTAATTATTTCATACTAAATAATAATAAGAAAGTAAATTTTAATCGTTAAGTGTTTTCTATTCTATTCTTTCTTGTTTTGTTAATGAATTTATTTGTAGGTTATCTATTTGCAAGGTTAATTATACAGTATTATCATTTCAGGTTTAGAAGAAATGAAATTAAGACGTATGGAATTACAAACTCAGATTGAGGCTCAAGAAGATGAAAAAAATAGTTTGCAAACAGAAATAGAAAAATTATCATATAAATTGACACGTTTAAATGATAGCCTAACTAAAAGAATAGCTGTTAGAAATGAATATGACAGAACCATTGCTGATACAGAAACAGCTTATATCAAGGTATATCGATTTATAACTAACGTTTCTTGTAAATATTAATTTATTATTTACATCATTACTACGATACAATTCTATTCCTGTAATTTTATGTAATGAATGTATAAAAATCTCAATATCATTTCAGATTTTGGAAAGTTCACAGTTATTACTAAACATGATAAAAAAAGAAGCCACAAATTTAGACCAGACATTACTTAAAGCAAATATGGATAAACAACAATATTGATCATATCATAAATAAATTGAAGAAAAGTGTTTATTGAACTTATATATTCAATAACAAAGTAATTAGTAACAATCCTAAAATTACAAAATTGTAAATATTTCTTAAAGTCACTACTTGTAAACTACTTATTCTTTGAATCATATTTACATACCAACATAGTTTCTTCTTTCTTAATCTGTACACTTATAAATACTGGTATTTTTATAATAGAATTGACCTTATGATGTAATAATTTTTTCTTACAAATAAGATTTATGAAACAATAATTCTTGTCATACGTTGATAAAGATATTCAATGTTTACATTAGTAATAATTACGATCGATTGTTCCAGTTAGCAGTATTATGCATTATTTATATAAAAATACCATAATAAATTATATTTGGTATTATAACTTGTTATGTACATAAAGACTGACTAATGTGTTTAAGTCCATTTTCAATAACAAACTGTTTTTAAATGTATTTTGTAATAAATCAATTTTTCAATGTTACATTTAATCGCCCTGTTTATTATTTTTTAATAATTCGTATTTATTACATTACTTGAATTCACGATTTAAAAACAATTAATATACATATATATGATAAATGAAAATAAAAATTCTTCTCTTATTTTGTTTTATAAATAATACAGAATTACAAAGGCTTAAATTTTGTTCTTGTATAACATAAATTTCGTTCATTAAAATAAAATTTCGTAAAAACGATTAAACAATTAGGCATTACCAAGCGCTTTCTGCTCATTCCATACTGTTAATAATTCACTTGGATTTCCGTATCCATGAGAAGTAATTACATATTTATAATTAAATTTTGTATAATCTTTCTTATAAAAATGAAATTCTTCACAATGAAAAGGTTCAATATTTGCCTTTTTGGCAACTAAGCCTAGATAAATATCATCAAATCTAAAATATTTTGTATAAAGACTAGTATAATACATATCTAAAAGGGCTTCTTTAGACAATATGTATGCTCCTGCTGTAACGTATGGTGGCCATAAGTGGTATGGATACTCACTAAGAGGAACATACCATTTAGAAGATTTATGACGATGAGGTGAAGATAAAAATACGAATCCTGCAAATAATCTAACATCTGTTGGAAGTTCAAAATCAAAAATTTGCCTTTTTAATCTGTTCGATAGAAGTTCATTTTTTACAGCTTTATTGTAAATAGATCTTAATGTATTATTATTATCTTCATATTTTTGTGTAAAATCAGTAATAACTGTGGATAGAATTTTACTATGAAATTTTTCTTTTGATCCATGAGTAATTTCTTCCATAGTAAAATTTTCATTCAAATTTTCTTTCTCATTTAATGTACGAATATTTCTTTCTGTAATGTTATCATTAACATGCGGTCCTTCTTCATTATCGGTATCCTTAATTTCTCTTTTTTGAGCTTCAAATTTCTTGGGTTCTTTCAAGTAACTTGGATAATTAGTTGGATTTCTTATAAATCTTAAAACATTTTTTACCGAAACATATATATCATCGTCAACAAACATATAGAATTTTGAATTAGAGCAATATTTGATTAGCCATTTAATACTCATCATAGTTTTTGAAGTATTGTTATAATATGTATCTACAAAGTTTGCTTGCACGATATCTTTATACTTTGCAGCCTCAATTTTTACCTTTGCTTGAACCTCATCATCATGGGGATGCATGCCCAGCATAAAAATTGTTCTTGATGGTACATCGAAGAATCTTTTCTCGAAACCCCAAGAGCTTCTGATTGCCAATCTCCTTTCAAAATTTTCCATTGCAGATTTCACTATGTATACAACACGAAAAGTATTGTAAGGCGGATCTAGGCATTTTTGTTGGTTATCAATCAAGAATGTATAATTATAATCGTTTATAGGATCGACGACGGGTTTTTCGTTATGTCTTAATGCATTTACGAATTCGTGTACATCGCCTTCGTATGGATAAACAAAATTTGAATCGTACGTGATTTCAAAAATATGTGTGAATACACCAAAAAAATCAAGCAGCGCGATAAAACCGATACAAATGCAGATATATTTTAATCTGATTTTTCTTATTAATCGAACGCACGTTTGAAAACAAGAACGTAATAAACAATACATCCTTGCAAAATAGAATCACATAATTTATGTTTTGTTATTTATAAAAATCTGCAAAATAACAGTATATATACATATTTATATTACGTTTTCGTAGGTTTTTACATTACTTACAAATATGAATAAACACTTACATATATAGTTTATAAATTAACTGTTAAAATATATTTTATTTTACTCATATTTTTATTAGTAGTTCAGTCTCTTCTTTTAAGATACTGATAATACATTTTATCAATTGATACTGATAATACATTTTATACATATAAAGTACTGTTTTTAGTACTTTGTATAATTGATACCTCGTATATTATTTGATCACTATTTGATATGTAATTTTTATATTGATAATACTTGTCAAATATTCGATGGAATGTATATTTTCATCGTTAAACATTTATACACAATTATCCAAAAATTTATAATTTAATTTGTCATTACACATACCTTGCCGGTAGAATTTTACTTACTTAGTCTTTGCATGTTACCAACCAAACAGTAAACTGTTGTACCTACATACATACATATACCGCAGTTCACCAGAGTCCATAACTGCGAAAAGACCAGTTTTCGTTCTTCGCGCATCTCCAGTACGCATCTTCGCCCTGATTGGCGATACTCCCAAACGAAGTGGAAAGCGATTAGCAAAGAGCTCGCTGCGTTCCCCCACCATTTTCCAACCTGCGCGTCGCAGTTATGGACTCTGGTGAATTGCGGTATACATATATTTGAATTTCTAAAGTTATAGATCTTGCAAAATTGCTAAATAAATTTGCAATTACTATTTAAATAATCGTGTATGTACATACATAAATACATACATACTGAATTTTATTCTTTTCAAAATAAAAGTGTATATAATATGAATGAAAAACGTTTATGTAAATAGACAGACAATAAACTTGAACTTTTATAAGCTTACAAAATTTTAATAAAATATTAAACCTTCTATTTGTAGCAAAAATATAAATAATTGTATACGTATAAAAGATAATTTTATCAATTTCACGCATAAAATTGACGCGTTAAATTGACGTTTCCACGATGTTGGTAAACCTCCGTTCTGAAGTTAGTCATTCACTTCAAAAGAATCAGAGCAAGATGGACTCCTAAGCAATTTTTATACACAGCAGTCATTCGACTTTGGATTTTCTACGTTAAATTTTCTTAAAACGTTCGAGATTTTTCTTATATGACCAAGCTTGCAGTGTGAAGGATGATTGTACAGGAGCCAGTGCAGGTAAAGTAAATGAAGTACGAAAAGGGACTGCCAGTGACGTGCAATTTTCTGTCCGGGCGCATCCACACTTATTGATACTGACATGAGAAATCGAACTCGTTTATACATTTGTTTCTTCTTTAACGGAAAATTGATTTCCAATTTTCTACAATAATTTATGATGCTTCATTCATTTTATCAGTTTACCGAAGTTTTATCCAATATTACATTAAATACATTTATTCGAGGGTGAACTTATTTAGGGTTGTTTGCTTTTGCGAAATGGACGGTAAATGGAAGGAGTTATAACTAAATAGATATAAGTAACATTTATAATCTTTCTTATTTTATTAAATTTTAACAATGTTTAATAAGTTGCTGTTTGGACGGATAATTACACAAATACTATGTGTACGTGCTGTGTGTATATATATATATATATATTCTTGTTTATAAAAACGTGATTAAACGTTTTTATAACTGAGTCATTTTATTATGTATTTTTTAATATGCTATAATATATATTTGTACATATATAATTACAGGCAGCCATATGGCATTGTTTAAATCATTATGCTTATCCAGATGCAATATTTTTAGCAGAAAGATTATGTGCAGAAGGCAAGTTTGAATTTTTTCTAATTATGATTTTTTAATTTACCCTCATATCCTTTAATCATAGTTATAAGATCATTTGAAATATTTTACAGTTGATACAGAAGAAACTTTATTCCTTTTGGCGACTTGTTATTATCGATCAGGTCGAATTAGGCAAGCTTATGCGTTACTTTCTAAAAAAGCTCCAAGCTCTGCGCAGTGCAGATTTCTGTTAGCGAAATGTTGTTACGATTTAGAAAAGTAAGTATGAAATTGTTTTGTATGTTTAATTATGTACATAATTTGATGTTAAAATTTGTAGATATGCAGAGGCGGAAGCAGCCATAATAGGGGGATATTATAAACAGTTGAAAAATTTAGAGGAAATTTCCACTCAGTTCGGCGAACATGCTTGTTTTTCTCTTCAGATTATAGCAAAAATTTATTATAAAATGATGCGTACCTCAAAGGGAAATGATGCCCATAAATTGGCTTTAAAGTTAAATCCATTTCTTTGGCATTCGTTTGAAGAATTATGCAACGTCGGCGAAGTGGTAGATCCTGCTAAAGTTTTTCAGTTAGATAAGTTAGACAATTTTGCCATGTGCCATGGTAGTACACCTACTCCTAATTACGCGACCGAATCTGATCTCATTCTACCTATTAATAATTCGAATGGCACACCTACGATAAATGGCATTAATGTGTAAGTATATTATAACAAGTTTATATGTAATTAGGTTTATATATCATGTTGTTGTTGTTGTTGTTATAATAATATTTTACAGAACTCCTGGACAAATGACAACAGCATCGACTATAATAAATGGCATAGGTTCTGGTATACGGTTATATTCTTCCATAGATGAAAGTCCCCAAAGTTTACATTATAGTAATTGCTCTTCGATATCACCAAGGGCTAAACTTCCACGATACCGTAGTATGTTTAGTAACACGATGAGTCCTCTTACTCCGAGTTTTGGTATCTTACCACTGGAAAGCAATACACCTGAACCAACAGTTTTACCTTCGCATACGACTCTTACAGAAGCTAACGATCAGAAAAGTTTAGCGAAACGTGTTAGTAGTTTAAGGGCTCATGTTGGGGTAAGATTTGAGTAGTAATGATAATATTTTTAAATATGTATACGTATCGTACAGTATACAGCGTAATTTGTTTAATTTATAGCAATTAATGTCAAGGAAAGATACACCTTTGCAACAAGGAAAACCAGTATTTTCACAATCTGGAAATACCAGTAACAGCGCGAATATTGTAACAGTAACGCCTACTACCCCAACACCGACACCACCAACACTACAAGGTACTAACGTCAGACGTTCATCCCGACTCTTCAGCCATAGCTACTCGGTTAAGGTAGTTAATTGTTTTTCAATTTTATATTTCATAAACATTTAATTTTTGATTATACAGGTATTAGTCTGCCAAATGTATTGTTTCGTTATTTTAGGAAAATAATAAATCTCCAAACAGAAATAAATTTGCCACTCCTAAGTCTCCATCTCGGAAGACGAAAGCCAGACTTTCGAAAACTAATTTAAACAAAACTAATTTTAACGAATTAAATGAGAGAAATCGAAACGAGAAAGAGAAAAGTGAAACTATTACATCAGAAAAGGCTGTAGCTAGTGTAAATGCTTTAAATAATCAAAGCAATGCTAATATTTGTGCGGTAACGCTTCAAAAACAATGTGCTGGTAAGTTGTTAACTTAACTTTATTTTGGAATAAAGAGATAAATTCTTCTTTATAATATCTTGTGTATTTTTTTTTTTTTTTTAGAAGGTTTAATGTCACTGTTACGTGAGTTAGGAATGGCGTATCAACACTTGAGTCAATTTAATTGTACCCAAGCTGTCGAGATACTAAGTGTTCTTCCAGCACAACATTATAACACAGGCTGGGTACTTTCCATGTTAGCTCGTGCACACTTTGAAATGGTAGATTATAAGAAAGCTGCTAGGTACATAAATGTCCTACTAATATAATATGTATAGAACCCTATAAAATTGGTTGGTACGAATTTATAGCCTGATATTTTTTTCAACAGTTATTTTTCTGAAGTGAGACATTTGGAACCTCAAAGGACTGAACTTATGGAAATTTATAGCACTGTTTTGTGGCATTTACATGCTGAAGTGCAATTATCCACTCTTGCACAAGAACTTGTTTCCGAGGATCGTAATTCACCGGCTGCTTGGTGTTCAACGGGAAATTTATTTTCTGCACAAACAGAACACGAGACAGCAATTAAATTCTTCCAAAGAGCTATTCAGGTATGTATACTTTTAAGATGGATAGAAATTCTAGTTTTGTTTTTCAGTTATATTTCAGATGAAAATTGTGTGTTTTAAACGTTTAGGTAGATCCAAACTTCCCGTATGCCTATACGCTACTTGGCCATGAATATGTGATGACAGAAGAATTGGATAAGGCCATTACTGCGTTTCGCAATGCCATTAGGCTCGATCCTAGGCATTACAATGCATGGTAAATCATTCACTAATTAGAGAAAAGTCATTTGGTATTTAAGATAATCGTAAAATATTCTACGATATTTGCTTTAGGTTTGGATTGGGAACAATATTCTCGAAACAGGAACAATACAGTTTGGCAGAATTGCATTTTAAACGTGCATTACAAATAAATCCACAAAATTCAGCGATAATGTGCCACATAGGTGTTGTACAACATGCATTAAAGAAAACTGACCAAGCTTTAAAGACTTTGAATACCGCAATTGCAAACGATCCCGACAATACTTTATGCAAATTTCATCGTGCGACTATAAACTTTTCAATTGGTCGGCACACCGAAGCGCTTAGGGAATTTGAAGAATTAAAAAATATTGTACCCAAAGAGTCTCTAGTCTATTATTCGATAGGAAAGGTAAACGTCTTGATGATTTTATTTTATTATTTCTAAATTTCTTATTTTTTATCTTTTACTTACGCGTGTTTCTCTTACAGGTACATAAAAAGTTGGGTAATACGCATCTTGCGTTAATGTATTTTAGTTGGGCGACAGATCTGGACCCAAAAGGTGTTAACAGTCAAATTAAAGAAGCTATATCGAGTCCGGGTCAAGGTGACGAAGAATCTCCGACTCCTCAGTCAGGTAATTTTCTGTAAACGAAACTTTTCGTTGAAATATCTATCAGTGATTGTTCACAACGGTTTTCATTATGCGCATATAGACGAACAACAGTTGCAAAATAATTCAATGGAACAAGAGATTGAAACTAATAGAGAAGGAAGTGCCGCTGGCTTGGCCGCAAATGCATCAGTGGAAGCTCATGCCGACGATAGCGACGATAGTTTATGAAGATATCCAACTGTGTGCAAAATTGCTATAAAATGAAGCATTATTGCGCGTTGCTATTCGTATTGATCGGTTTGATCCATTTCTTCGATTCATACTTTTCGCGTGCACTCGACAATTTCATTTGAATTACCGCTTTCTCGTTAGACTTTTTTTGATATTCGTATCTTTCTTAATCTCATAGTTGCATCCTTTGAAAAATTTAGAACTCTATTTTTTTCACGTTTTTCTGAATTACTCTTTTTTAAAAAGAAAAGAAAAGAGGGAAATACTTTCAAAACGATCGGTGTTCTCTAAAAGAAAGAGAAATTCCGCGAAACATCCGTTTCATCGATTTGTACATTACGCGTTTCTCTGTATATTTTTTTATGATTATTTATCTTATTTTTTTATATATATATATATACATACATCCATACACATACATACATAAATAATAGTGTTTAGTCACACTTTCGTTAAGGATTTACGGTTCAGTACAGACTGTATTGTATGAATGAGTGTAAACACATAAGCATGTCGTAAGTAGATAGGAAATATAATTAATTAATTAAGTGAAATAAGTAAGAAGAAAGTGTAAATGTAAATTATTATTAATATTATTATTATTATTGTATTATCAATGTTATTATCATTAGTGCTATCAGTACTATTATCCATCTAATTACCGTTGTTGATTTAGTGATTACGAAAACTATTTTTGGCCATGTGGATGGCCATTGGACGATCGTGCAATTCTCGTCATGAAGTATACACTCATTGATGGGTCAATCTTGATCGGAACTGATATCATATAAAAATTGTACGCGTTATCTCACTGGGAAAAAACATACCATGGACGAGTGGAAAAAATTAATTCATATTCGAAACTGTTGAGCAAAGTGTCTCAAAAGTCTATCGCATATCTTTATCGATGAAACCCTGCTATTGTTCTAAATAAATGTATTCTACAATTATGAATTCGCTGTATAATAATTGATCAATTATTTCTATTAATTTAACTTTACATTGTCCAACATTATCTCCTCTCTTATCACATAGTTTGACAATCTTTTTTCTGATAATCATTCAAATGTTTTCTTTCTTTCCTTCTTTATAATATATCTACTTTTTCGTTTGGGCGATTCAATAAATTTCTGCTATAGACTTTATTTGAGACCCCATTGTTCATCGAATTATTTCGTACTGCATGCGACCAAAAATCTCTGTATCGTTGCACAATGTTCATGAAAATACTAAATGCGTTAACGTGTTACCAGAATTTATACTTAGACTTATATTATTCTCTTGGTAGAATGATAACGTTGCAAGAAATTGTTTTATCGGGAAGGTAGCATTTTATATTGCATAAGAAAGGAAAGAAAAAGATGATGAAAAGAACAGAGACGAAATGGCTGATTTAAAATTTTATGTGTGTATAATATATATACGGTATATATTTTTTCTTTAATTAAAGCGTATTTTAACTGTTCAAACTTTATATATTGTTTATAAGGATTGATTTCCTTATGAGTTCTTAACACGTTCTTTGGTTTTACACCTGCTATGAAATTTCGAATAATTTTAATTTAATTTAAACTATAAATGATAATTTATTGATATTTAAAGAACTGAAAACGAGCTGTATTTTCTTTTAAGATTTCTGTAAGTAGAGAGATCAGAATTTTGTTTTTTGTCTTACAGAAAGTCTGGTCAGAGGTATTTAATCAGAGAAATGTGTATTTAATAAGGCTGATAAGTAGACTTTTAATAATTTTTTCCAAAGAATTGAATAATTATATGGGTTTAAGTAAAGATACGCTTTTTCTTTCTTTCATTTTACATCCTTGTTTTCTTTCTTCTTTTTTAGTTTAATGTTATTTATTTGAGCCATGTAAGTTTAATATTTCATAACTTGTTCAAATATCATTAGCACGATGTGTATTCATATTTTTGTTATGTAACTGTCGTTATCATGGATGCTATTTAAGTCAGTGTTTGCTCGATGGAAGTAAAAGGTGGACGTTTTGCGACATTTCTGTGTGAATTGTAGTAATTAGGAAAAGAAATGTATTTATTTCCCTCTAGATTTTTCACTTTGATGTTCATTTCTTTCTTATAAATTTTGATCATACATACTGATTAATAAGCGTAATAGATATATTAAATTTAATGCTTTTAATCGTATACTTCAGTGCAACATAGGCTTCTCAATTTCTTTTCAACCATAAAAGAGACTAATGTAAAATCTCCTGTCTTAAGATAAAGAATATAAAGAAATAAAAAAGGGAATATTTGTTCTTCTGGGCGTGCCCTTAATTAAAGGAAGTCTAGGTTGCACGAGATTATATGAAGAGTAACAGGAGTGTTTTTATCAAGGATATCAAGTGTCAATATATCTTATAGTTCTTTTTTGAAATATTAAGTGAAATTGAACGTACGCCTGTGAAATATGGAACGTGTAACTAATTGTGTACAAACTGGTAAGTATTTAATTCTGTAAATGAATAGTTACATATAATTTTTCTCCATTTAATTAAAATGTAATATTGTAATATCGTAATTGTGTACACATAGCAATTGGGAACATTATTTAACAAATAATAAAGAGTTAATTTTTGTTTAAACATTGTACGAGCATCATTGTATTTTCCAATAGTATTGAAACTTTCGTTCTTTGAATAATTGTAGATATTTAATATTTCTTATTATTTTGCTTAGTGCTTGGTGAAAAAGATGCAAATAAGCTTGGTAGAACGCTTACGCACGAGCATCTGGCCTTGTCTTTTACCTCTTTCTATGTTGAACCGCCTAATCATTTAAAACGATTTCTTAATGATAAAATCGAGCTTCGAAATGTTGGAATTTTGAAACAATATCCGTAAGTAGAAGAAATTCAATATATTTGTTTTTTACTATATTTTACTTATACAATTCAGATACGATAAAATGATAGTGAACTCTTTAAACAGTAATACACTTTTGGGTGAACGTGAAAAGAAACTAAATAAATTCATTAATTTCGAAACGTTTGATTCAACTATGCGGTATAGATATACAGGGTGTTAAAAAATACCCTGGAGACCTTTACACCGCTGGATAGATCACGGAAAATCGAAGTGAAAAGTTCTGTAGCATTTTTCGATGGGATCAGTAGTTTAGCCACATTTCGTTGTTGAAAATTGAAAAATTGACCAATCAGCGCGCAGCTCGAGTGGCAAGATCCGCGGAGTAGGAGACTAGCCTCTGCCGCCGACGAGCCGCGCCGCTGAGCGTCGCGCTTACGCATGCGCCGAGAGTCCATTCCATTCCATTTCGTTTCGCCCCTAAAGGGCCGGCGCTTTTGGGGACTAATCTGTCCCCTTTTTGCTCAATGAACTTTATCGGCCACGCGCCTTCGGGGATGTGCTGGCAGCCCCGCCAGCACCAAACCCCGCGCATTTTTTGAATTACCTTATCTTTTTCTTTGTACATTTTCCATCTATCATCAGTTCCATACTTTTAATTGTCTGAGCCGATGTGTGTGTGTGTGTGTGCTCGTGCATGCGTTCGTGTGTGTATGTGTTTGTGTGACCCCTTTTAGTCGCCTCTTACGACAGGCAGGGGATACCGTGGCCGTATTCTAAGCCCCCCCGAGCCACAGGGGGAGCGCCGAGAGTCGAGTTGTTTGCTATTGTAAAGATAGCAATTTTATGGTTTTTTGGATATGTTTGATAGCAATATTTACTACAGGATACAGCCGAAAATTGTACGTGTACAATTTATCAAACCGTTTAATAAATTGAAACAACTGGGTATGACCCACTAATAGATTAAACAAACAAACAACCCACCAAGTGGACAAGGACACGGCTCGGTTACCGTGGAAATGAGATCTCCCGTGCCTGACCGTGTCGAAGAAAAAGCCTATCCTTGAATAGGACAGGTGGCAGTGGTGACATCAGGGATAATAGCAACCTACCAGGTGGATGAAAACATGGCCCGGTCATCGTGGAAATGAGATGTCCCGTGCCTGACCGTGGCCGAGGAAAAAGTCCTGTGCGCAGCCTGTGCAGGTTGAAAATGTCCTAACCGCTCGATCGGAGGTACAACGACGTGGATGCGTAATCCCTCACGCTTGCATGGCGTCCTGGGGTACCTGAAGCGGTGAAAGGTGCCGGCGGCTCACACTAAGGGGAGAGGTTTTAGTGGGTAGTGTATCATCCCTTCTGGGTGGTATGAGTCCTCCCTTAGCCGAATAGTGCGACAGGGGGTCAACCGCGCGTACGTAAATGTATTTCCTCTTCCATAAACGAAAAAAAAAAGATTAAGCAAGCAAACAAACAGACAAATTATTTGCTCTCGGCGCATGCGTAAGCGCGACGCTCAGCGGCGCAGCTCGTCGACGCGGTCTCCTACTCCGCGGGTCTTACCACTCAAGCTGCGCGCTGATTGGTCAATTTTTCAATTTTCAACAGCGAATTATGACTAAACTATTGAGCCCATCGAAAAATGCTACAGAACTTTTCACTTCGATTTTTCATGATCTATCCAGCGGTGTAGAGGTCTTCAGGGTATTTTTTAACACCCTGTATGTAGGAATGATAAAGGTAATTGTTATTTACAGTTACAGTAGTTTGTATAATTTAACGTTTAACGATACGGATACAATTGATGCTATTTTGGAAGATGTGAAGTTATATCGCGAATTTGGCGGTGGTAGCATCGTAGAAAATAGCAATTACGGTTTGAATCGTGATATTCCAATGATGAAAAGAGTTAGCAAAGAAAGTGGAGTTAACGTGATTGCTGGAACAGGTATATTTTCATTTGTGAAAGTCAGTCTTTTATTTTTTTATTAAACATAATAATGTAAAGTAAAATGATCATAAACATGTCAATAATACATTCGATTCGTTTCTTTCTTATTCTATTCCTTTTCTTCTTTATTATTGACAAACGAAAGGCTATTACGTTGCTGCCACTCAAAGTGCAAGTGATCTGAATTTATCCAAAGAAGAAATGTACAATATAATGTTGAAAGAGATGACCGTTGGTTGCGAACAATGTCCCGACGTGAAAACAGGATTTATCGGAGAAGTTGGAAGTACTTGGCCGATCGAAGGTTAACTTTTGTTTCGTTTCATTGTATAGCACTTATTTTTGGTGAAACATGAAAATGTTTCTGTAATTTTGTTTTATTTTTCGGTTATTTCTTCGAACAGAGTTTGAGAAAAGAGCAATCGAAGCAACAGGAGAACTTGAAGCGCAATTAAAATGTCCCGTGAGTTTTCATCCTGGAAGAAATTGTGCGGCACCCTACGAAATAATGAGGCTTTATCAAGAAGCAGGCGGTGATGGCAGTAAAGCGATTCTCTCTCATTTAGATCGTACGTTTCATTGAGCGATTTCAAAAGATATTCTTCCTCTGAAAGGAAATCAATCAGAGGGGGGCGTCAAGTAAAAAGTAGATAACCAGTTACATTTCCGATAGGAAAAAAATGCTCTTCTCTTGATTCAAAAGTTCGCAGTGATCTCCTCCGAAGAGTCGCTATGGCAACAAGACCCGATATACATGGTGTCGTGCTAGATTTCCCATGAAATCGAATTTTGACTAAGTCCAAAACCCAACTTTCGAACCTCATATCTCGGAAACCAAAAGCGTGCACCGAATAATATTCAAGATGGTTACTGTGGAGGTCAAGGTCTATCACCAGACCAAGTTTCGTCACGATTCGATGAGTCTTCCCGAACGCGTCGGATATATTATAGCCTTTATCTGATTTTTTCGGGAAAAAATCAAGAGAAGAGCGAAAATTAACTTTATTTCAAGAAATAGACCCGACGCAGAGCGGCTATTATTTCGTTAAAGTTAACTATTATTCAAGAAAATTGTTTGAAATGTATCATTGATAGGAACTATTCATGACGAACAACAGCTTTTGGAGTTTGCCGACACGACCAAATGTTATTGTCAGTTTGATCTATTTGGAAGTGAATGTTCCTTTTATCAGTTGAATCCACTGATCGATATGCAATCGGATGCACAACGTATAGATCGCGTAAAACTTCTTCGGGATGATGGAAAATTAAATCGCGTGCTTCTCAGTCAGGATATTCATACTAAGCACAGATTGGTATGTATTTTCAATTGAAGAAATCTAATGCATAAGTATATATATGTTACGGTAAATGTAACAAACTGGTGATTATGTATAATTGCCGGTTATTATATATAATCACCACTAAATTTGGTGAATATGATAAATTATTGAATATTTATCAAATTAATCGGCGAGTTTATATAATTCCCAACTCGGGAGTGCAGTATTTTGAGTAGTTATTAGTCAGAAGGATAGTTTTTTGTTGGACACTATGGCGCGAGAGGCTGTGAATAACAATATTTTACAATTTACAATTAAAAATTCAATAAATGGTTATTTTAAGTCACATGGATGATTTTTCGAAATAATGTTTATTATGTATCCTTTAACAGAAAATATAAATGAATAAATGTTATAGTAATTATTATCGTTGGTAAATATTTAGATTAACGTACCCACCTTCAATCGCCTCGGGTTCAGTAGGAGATAAAATATTAAACTTATTATTATTATTATTATTATTATTATTAATTATTATTATATACATACGACCGCGAAGCGACCGACAACGCTTTTCTAAAATAATAGTGTTGTTTAAATAATAACCGGATTTAAATATATTATTTAACCTACCCTAATACATCAATAATATTCACTTTTAATTGAGTTTTAATGGACACTTGCACCTTAATTTTTACAAATCGTAGTAGCTGCACTAACTGGGTGAAATTTCTTAAAGTTATGGACTTTTATCACATTCGCCATTACAAGTTGGGAATTATATAAACTCGTCGGTTAATTTGATAAATATTCAACAGTTTATCACATTTACCAAATTTAGTGATAATTATATATAATAACCGGCAATTATACATAATCACCGGATTAATCACATTTACCGTAACATATGTATACATAATGTATTCTAATTAAACAGGTTTCACCATTCTTCTTTTTTTAGATAAAATTTGGTGGTCATGGATTTTCTCACATATTAAATAACGTTTTACCAAAAATGATACTAAAAGGTTTTACTCAAGAAGAAATTGATACGATAACGATTCATAATCCAAAGACATGGTTGTCATTTTAATGATCTCTTATCGTTAATAAAGAGCGTCAAGAGTGTTTTAAATCTTATTTTACATTTTACACTTTTGTAAATATCGGCTTATTAAATATGAAACTCGCAAACTATATATCAACTTTTTTAGTTAACTTTTCAGTTACTGGCGACACGTCAATATTATTAAAATAGATTAAATTCTATTCAAATATCGTAAAAATTATTTTATGATCAATATAAAAATAAAAATTTTGATCGATTTATTTTCCCTAAGTTGATTAAAATATGAAATTGCGACGCGGTCCTAAATCGACAAATCGTCAGACGAACAAGTAATTTCTTAGTTTTCCAAGAAATAAAGTACATTTTGAACAGAAATATAATAATCTATGTATTACTTTACATCAACAGACGATTTATAAATATATACATATATTACCTATATGATAACTATTGTATGTATATTAAAATATACAACCTCATCTTTATTTTTTATACATTCCACGCACACAAACCCCTCCTATCTCCTTTTTCTTATGTTATCATTGTGTTATCGTCAATCGTTCAATTAAGTTTGAAATTTTTAAGGCAACCAAATGTAAGAAAAGTAGTGAAAAACACTTTGAATAAATTAACGTACTATGTGTATACGTGAAACCGGTGCGATGGATTAATTACGTACACGAACAACACTTGTGTGCCAGAGGCAGATTAAACGTCACTAACGTATATGTACAAATATAACGTTGTAACGTTCCAAACTTAGAAGAAATCGTATCTGTCGATAATCAATAGCCCAAGTATCGAATCCAGATGAAAATCTACTCAACAAAAGTAAGAATAAAGTGGAAGAAGGGAAAGTTTCAAGTAAGACGATTTGGCCATATTTGACCCAGTGTTTACCACGAATATTGGAGGAAAGATAGCAAGAGAGTGATATATGGGGAACCGAGGGGGAATAAGAGGAGGTGACACGAGTCACAAGTCGACCTCAGAGGTCGAGCCTTTTGTCCCGGTTTACACTGACAGTTTACCAACGAACAACAAGTAGCGGTAAAGCGGCAGTTGCTATACAATATACAAACGTTAAATAACTCTTGAAGAAATAAGAAGAAGAGGAAGAATGAATTCAAGAAAACCGAGGAGAGACTCGGACGTTCTATTGTCGAAATTTGGTCACAAGGAGCTTCTCTTCAAGTTCCTCGTTATCGGTGACTATGGCGTGGGTGCGTCCAGGCTGTTTTAAATAAAATTTCCTATTCAAAACATTCGTCATCGTCAACTACGTGAAATTCAACTCTCTTTCGACCTGTTAATATAGATCTATATTCAATATCGTGTGAATCGTTTTCACGTACATAAGTATCTAAATACATATATGTATAAAGTGCAAAGACGTCTGTCCGTGTCACTTTTCAACTCGAGAACTACTGAGGTTAGAGATACACGTTGCACAGTGGGGTATTTGCCTCTCAAACGCGGTAAAAACTACTTTAAAATTTGCTCAATCTTCACACTGTCATAACATTGCTAAATTTCATCCAAACTTTGCTCTTTCAAATAATACCAAACAGAACGCGGGATTCCACGGGACTTTTTTTAAAATAAACAATAAAGATGGAAAATATTCAATACGGTATAATTCCAAAAATATTAATGATAATAAAATGAAATTTGATACAATTAAAATATATACCTGGCACGTTTAAACCCATCATAGATTAATTAAATTGAGTTACAATTAAAAGCATAAATAATAGTTGTAGTTTTTAAGAATTTCGGAGTTGCCTTCTTTAAACCTCTGTACCCACGTTGAAAATTAATAAATGTGAAAAACAAGTATACTACATAGTGGGCCAAATATTCAATTAACTATTTTCATAGTACTCTTTGACTTTAGAGATAATTTTCTAAAAATGACTTTTTACCGCGTTTGAGAGGTAAATACCCCACTGTGCGTCGTTAGAAAGGTCTTACCGAAACTAATTCAAAACCGTTGCGTTTGTGCGGCTAAGTGGCCGGAGTGAAAAGTTATAGGGGTTTCCATTTCCTGTAGAAAGTCTATGGATCGCACGTTTTAGCTGCGCGCGCATGCCCCCAACAGTACGTAATGTCTTTGGAAAGGGTTGCGTCGGTACTATGCGGCGCATGCGCGCCTAACAGTAGCTTTTTCAGACTTTGACGATCTATATTTCAAAAACGCGAATTTTCCGGGGGACGAGAAAAACGACTACATCAATACCCGAAGAGGGATGATTGACAAGGTGATTCTAAACAACTTTTTCCTTTACCAAAATGTTGATTAAGGCTTCGTTTTCGGGTTATTAACAAAAAACACTGGCCAATCAGAGCGTGCCTTTAGCGCGGACCGAACGGCTTGAACGCAGAGCAAACTCAACACTCGTAGTTCGGCCCTCGCTAAAGGCTCGCTCTGATTGGCCAGTGTCATTTTGTTAATAACTCGAAAACGAAGCCTTAATCAACATTTTGGCAAAGGAAAAAGTTGTTTAGAATCACCTTGTTAATCATCCTTCTTCGGTTGTTGACGTAGTCGTTGGATACCCTGTATAGTAGCTCACCATTAATCGTTTCACCGGCTTTTTATTTTTACAATTGAGTATTGTACATCTGTTTGTCATCCAACTTGTCGAAAATTGACTTTGCATAATAATAATAATTCTCTGTTTACTATTTTCAGGGAAAACTGCGCTAGTTAGAAGATATACAGAAGGTACTAGTATTTTTTCAAAGATCATTGAATTAACATTTGAAAATTGAAATTTGCTCGATAGAAGAATGTTTTAATAAGAAAGACACGTAATAAGTATAAAAGTTGCTTGATTCATTTTCAGTATCATGTACACCTGTAGTAATTAACGAACAGAAATAATCGCTCCTCTATTTTTATTCCTGATCTGATTTGATTAATCTCTTTCAAACGAATCACTCTTGACGTAAAAGAAAACACGTTATCTTTGTAAATGAAACTTTGTAATTAAATTAAAAGAGAAAAGAAAAATTTTTTTTTAATTATCGCAATCGTTTTGTGTCAATAATACCGTGAATTGTGATTAAACGAGTAAATTTTTTTTTTCTTCTTTGTTTACAGGAAAATTTACGTCGAATTACAAAATTACCATAGGAGCGGATTTTGCGATAAAAACGCTCGATTGGGATCCGCATACTAAAATCAATCTACAATTATGGTACATGTATATTATGGAAAAATAATTTTTACGATACTTAGGTATACAGGGTGTCCCAGAAAGAGTGTTAGTCCTTTAAGGCAGACCTGTCCAAGTAGGGGAATCCACTCCTGGAACACATGTTTTGGGTCTCCTTCCAACGCTGCTGCTTAAAGTAAGATGGGACCGTTCCGTCTACCATCTCTCCGTCTTTCCCAGCGGCGGTATTGTCTCCTCGGAGAGATGGTAGTCGGAACCGTCCCATTTTACTTGAAGAAGCAGCGTTGGAAAGAGACCCAAAACATGTGTTCCAGGAGTGAATTCCCCTACTTGGACAGGCCTGCTTTAAGGGGATGGTAGCTGGGGTGATACTGAACAACATTTTCCTTTGCGAAAATGTTGTTTGAAGCTTTGTTTTTAAATTATAAAGGAAAAACACTGGCTCAGGGACGGCACCCTTAACTACAAAAACTGGGCTTGATCTCAGTCCCGAACGAACACTTTCGGCACCCTGCTAGTACGTATGTATTTGGATAGTATAATAAATTACTTTGAACTGATAATTTAGGGATGTAGCTGGTCATGAGAGATTCGGATATATGACAAGGGTTTATTATAAATACGCGTGAGTACTTACATATTTAATAAATATAGCATTTCTATTCTTGTCAATTAATAGCTTTCTATATAATTTTCAGAGTGGCTGCTGCTTTGGTTTTCGACATTTCACGGATAGCAACCTTTCAATCGATTAAAAAATGGTTGTACGATCTCCGAGAAAAAGTTACACTTCCAGATGGTTCTAATATACCTGTGGTTCTTTTGGCAAACAAATGTGATATACCTTGTCCTGTAGTTCCGACTGAACAAATAGCTAGATTTTGTAAAGAGAATAATATCGGTGCTTGGTATATAACTTCTGCTAAAGAAAATACAAATGTTGGTAGGTATTACAATTTTGAAACCTTCGAATTTTAGAAAGTTACCTACAATTCAAGATACAAAATCTTTTCCTACTCTAAGTTTTACAGAATTTACAATGTATACAACTTTTTATTTTCAATTTGTTATAGATGTAGCGATGCGGTATTTAGTAGAAAATGTTCTTAAAACTAAAATCGACGGAGGAATGCGAGATTCCGTCAGACTGCGAAACAAACCTATGATTCGAGAGAAGAACGGATGTTGCAAATCATAAACCTTTCTTTTCGTTTTTCTTTCTTATTCTTCTTCTTCATCTTCTTCATTTTTTCCAACAACTAAAGTAACTAAAATAATTTTTATTAAAAAATACACGCACAAAAGACTTGCTGTTTTACTATTCATCTTAGCGTATTCATTGTATTTTAACAAAATTATCAAATTTTTATACGTGGAACTGAGACTGTACCTTATTTTATATAGAATAATTAACTAAAATAAAATAATTTTTAACAAAAAATACAACCGATTTCGAAATGCACTAAAAAGTATGAAATAATTTCTATTTCATTTATACAAAAACCCAACAGCTATTAATAAAACCTATTTACTCGTTAAATAGTATACTAAATACATTTCAACCTTTTCGGAGGCGGCGCAAAATTAAAAACTTTTCTTTTACTAGGAAGATTCTAATTCAGGCGTCGGCAACCTATCAAATCGTTAATTTTGCAAGAGGGATCATCGCGGAAATATGTATCTCTTATTAAATGCGAAAGGTTTCATCGCGATCGGTACATCTCGTGCAAAATAACACCAAGGAATAGGGTTTTGGTTATAACAATAGTTATTAACAATAACAAATTGCATAAATTTTTGCAAGTGAGATATCGCGGAAATATCTCCTATCAGATGTGAAAGGTTTCATCGCAATCGGTATTGCAGAATATACATGTATAGAAACAGTAAAGAATCGGCGACTGCATGCTGACTCATACACCGGTAGAGACACGTAGGCATACATAGAATTCAATGTAGTAGTAACAATAGTTTTTCACGAAGATCTTGGAAAGTAAAGCTTTCCGTTAATTATGCATAATGAAAAAGTTGTTTAGAATCATGCCCCTGACAACATATTAAAAGGTCATTGAAATCGTCCAATCTTGAGATTAAAAACTTCCTGTATTTTGCAATAACAATGAAAAAATGAAAAATTTTTTTTGAATGGGACCAATCGAAAGACATACCCTACAAGATGCAAAAGGTTTCGTTCCGATTGGTCCATCCATCTTGGAGTAATCGGTGAACACACATTAAAAAAAAAAAAAAAAAATACTGATCGAATTGAATACCCTCCTCCTTTTCGAAGTCGGTTAAAAAAGGAAAAGAAAGTGTGACTTCGTTTATTCCTAAGAACACAAGATACACTTATAATACTATCTTCGCTTATTGATTAATTTAAAAGAATATTAAATAAATATGAAACGATTTCATAACTCCAAACTATAAACGTCTTCAACAATCGATATATAATTTATTTTTTTATGTACAAATGCATTTTACTGTTTAACCTTTGGTAGAATGTCGAACCTAGACTCTAGACCAGTGGCGGCTCGCGTATAGGCACTGTGGAACTGCAGCACCCCCTATTTCCACTTGATATTATCGATAACATTTAATATAATGAGTCCCTTTTTCTTTATACTTGTACAATATATAATCCTTAAGCTTAATGTCAGTAACCATCTCCCAGTTTATGAAAAAGATACAAAAATCTTTGTATGGAATTGTGCGCTTCACAGTTCCAGCAGCGTGGTGTTTGACTGTGCACGCATGCGCACATAGGAAGCTGCGCGCGAGGCTGCGCGGGAGAAAGAGCACTGTCGCTCCCGCAGTGCCGGTTTTTTTAAAACAAAGACTAACAATTTTCTGGAGCAGCACCCCAACTAATTTTAGCTATGAGCTGCCACTGCTCTAGACTAAAGGATTAAATAATACTTTAACGTTTAATTTGTCTATCGACAAATAGTGATTCGTTGCTCGAGTAAGTTTGAAAATTTACAAAAACGTCTTGTACAAACATTTTCTATACCTACACGATAAAATTCTCTTATATTATTATACAACCCTTAATTCGACAAATAATTTATACAATACTTAATCATACCTGTAAATTACTGAGAGATGAACCTAAGAGCATAGCTCTGCTGTGCCTCACTAACGATAAGATTAATGTTTATTTTATTATATTTACATTCATATTTTTGGTTTTCTCCCAACCACTTATCAGTCATTGTCTTTCTTTCTTCCTTTCTTCCTTCCTTCATACTTTAACCATTGATTATAATTTTGATACATATTATTTATTGCATGCTTGGGCAGTGGTTATTCGAATATTCAGAGACCTTCCTCGAATTGAGAATTTCTTACAGGATTCATCGCGATGGATACCGTTGACACCATGGTCCTACTAAAATCCTTCGAATAATCTGAAAATGAAATTACACAAAACGGTGAATAATTTATAATACAAGTTCTCCTTCGAACGCGTGCTTAAAGAATCGATGAGTCGCATATTAGCAAGCAGGAAATTGTTAACGAGGAAAATCCGGCTAAATCGGATGATTCATCATTATAATTAGCTTACTATCAGGATACACCTTTTATTCTGCTGTCGTTTGAAATCAAACTTTAAATAGAAATAAATTACAATTCTTTTCATAAATCAGAATACATTTCAATTAAAAAAGTTTCTTTCATTTATTTCTGTTAAAATATTAGATATTGTAAAATTAATAAATATACAATTCTCATTGTATTTTTGAATCATTTTTTTTTTCTTTTTATAATAACTTTGTAATTTTTCTCCAGACAATATACGTTTAATTTTACCTTCTGAAATCGACTGACGATATTAAATAGATATTTAAAAAATAAATTTATTATATACCAACACAGTGAATCGAATGATAGAATGTTTCAACACCTTGCACAGTCTTATGGAAACGTATAATACATATATTAACATTTATCTATTCCAATTTGATCTAGTGACAGGATTGAAAACTGTAACAAAAAAAAAAGAAAAATAATCAGAGATAATCCTCCCGAGTACACTGAATGGACATTTACAAAAGAATAGAAAATAAAACAAAACAAAAAGCAAGTACAGAAAATGAATTAAAAGCATAGAATATCGTGGAATAAGCTATTTCACATTAAATATCAAATAAAAGATTATTTTAACATAAATATCTCGTGATAAAAGAAAAAAAAAAGTAGATGAGGTTGCACATACTACAGCAGAAGTAAGGGTTCCTACAGAATTAGTAAATTGTTAAAGTGTTAAAATGTTACGTTTGTCGAGAACATGGATATGCCGGCGAGGGCGAAGGTGTTACACGATTACATTCTTAGAAAGCAGCGAATTTGTGCCCTTAACTTACGAAGTGAGCCAAGTGTGGTCGCTTAACTCGCGTTCGATCAGAGCTTGGTGAGCGTTACCGCGCGACGGTGCTCGAAGTTACCTTGGCCGTAGTCCTGTTGATGTTGTTGTCCCGGCGCGCTGCTACCGTAAGGCGTTAAACTGGTCCTTATCCGTGAACAACTAATCACACCGGCGTACGCTTGTCTGTACTGTTTGTTCATGATCACGTAAATTATTGGATTCACGCAGGAGGCAAAGTACAATAGTAGATAGCCCAAAACGTGAAACTCTAAACGAGAAATACTCGGTGGTTATTATTATTCAATTAATTTTCGACTTGAATTGAAACGGCAACGTATCAAGATGATATAAAATATTATGTAGTTGGAGATACGTTACCTGGATATTTAACTTCAACGTCGATAACCTTAACAATAGTAATCGGAAAGTAACAAGCAACAAAGCTGAGAAAAATGGCAAGGACCATTTTTGTGATTCGCCATTCGCTGCGTCTTTGTTTAATCTCTCTGACATCTCTTCTCGGTGTATGGGGCGATTTGATCGTAGGGGTTGCGTGTTTTCGCATTCTCGACTCCGATCTATCAATTATCAGGATTAAGTAAAATAATTAAAAATCGAAAAACTAAATTACGATAAATGGAGCTGCCGTATGATTAATATGTATAGTATATCAAATAACCTGTGCACCACCCAGAATATTTTGGTATAGCATCCAACGATTATAACGCAAGGTATCACAAAACCCATCACAAAAAGGAATGTTTTCGACGTGTGACCATTATTATCCTTCACTATGGAACAAGTTTCAAGGTTTGAATCGTAGTCAAATCTGCCTAAAGATGAAGAAAACAACAGATAAATGGTTTTAATATTTCTTCGCTTTTCTTTCCGATTCAATCTTACCCCAAACTCCTAACAGGGTGGGTACTTGCATTCCATAAGAGAAAATCCAACAGAATACTATCATGAAAGCTATCCAATATTTTTTATAAACTTTACTATATAAACCGTGATGAGCTATCATGATATACCTGAAACAAATGATTTATATCAAATATTCATAAAACAATAGGAAAGAAAGTATTAAAAAGGAAATGTTTAAGAAATTGAATAGACACCTGTTGATAGTTATGGCTGCAACAGACAGAAGACTCACTCCAACGTTTCCGTACCTTAAGAAAGGTACAAGGACACAAAGAAATCGTACGTTCGCCCAACTCGCGTCCACGAACCTAATGGAATCGAATGGCAACACTAGAAGGCAGAATACAAAGTCCGCCACGCAGAGGCTGCAATATAATAGAAAAAGGAAAAGAGATAAAAACATTCCTTTTATGATTGTTGCATTTTTGTAGAAAATTGACGAGGTAGAGCATCGTCAACGAGATAAATTACCTTATAATAAAAGCTGCGGCAACGTTACGAACTTTCGGGTATTTGCATAAAGCAATGATAGTGAGTAAATTACCGGCGAGACCAACGATCATGATTATAATGGCAACTACAGCTGCAAATGTCCTTAGCTGCTTCGGAAACCTGCAAAATAATAAATAACGATACAAGTCATTTTTTGCTCCGTAATATTTCAAAGTTTTCAAGTTAATCATCCGAATTTCACCTAGATAGTTCGCCATCGATGATCGTGCTTTCCGCATCGTTCTCGGAAGTGGTTAAATTCTCCATTTCGATGATGACGAATTCTTTTTTATTGCTTTCCAGTGATTCATTCAGATTTCCACTTCCGATGGCTGAAACAAAAAATACAGGATAAGTGGGTAAACGAAGATATCGATGAAGAAATGATATCCTCGGTGCAGGCTATGTTGGATTTGATGATAAACTAGGGTCAAACTGTGGTGCATTAACCTCGATTGAGCTTAATTAAGAGAAATTAACGGATACCCGGTACTAGGCGTCCCCTGTAACAAAAAACTCGTCAAAAGTGATGGGAGACATGGGAGACATGGGAAGCAGCGCATTATGGGATGATGTCGCCTCGTTTGCCCTATCTCTTCTTTTCACACTCAACTCTTTGTTCAGTTATCTTCTTGAATATATGCTTTGCGACACCAGCTGTCTGATTTTTAAAATTTTTTTACTATAATTCTACTATTAGTACTATTTGACACACTTATAAAATCACTTATAACTATTATAATAAAATAAACATCATTTATATTCCTTCTTAATTATTCTTACAAGTAGTTGTAGTATTTTTTAAATGATAAGAAAATTTCATATTTACCATTTGTTATTCGACTTTTTAATGATAATAACAACGACAACAATAAATAGGTATAATTTTGTTATAATTTGCAGAGCCGGCCCTGGGCCTAAGCAGATCGGCCGCCTAGGGCCCCGCAAGGTCCAGGGTCCCCATAAGACGATTTTGTGTCATCAAGAAGAATAATGTTTACTTGAATGTTAATCGATGTAAATGGAAATCTAAATTAGTTATACAAGCTTTAACGTTAATTTTATAAATTTTATTTGAGGTATTTTTTTTGATGTCATATATGTGAAGGGGTCCCGAAATCTCACGGCCGGCCCTGATAATTCATAGTTACATTTTTTAATAAATGAAGAAAGGAAAGGAAAAATTAAAAGAAGCTTGTTCGACTAATAAATGATATATCACATGGGTATAATACTGACCCATAATCGTATTAATGACGCGTAAAGCGTCAAGGGTGAATCCAAGTGTGTTCTCGTAGCAACGAAATAAATTAATAGCGTTGTCCTTTTTATCGATACCATACTAACGAGTAGTTGGGTAATTCAATCAGAGAAACAATAAGGTGGTACATCTAGTAGAAAACATGGATTTCATCGCATAAAAGTATACGATATCACGTGAGAGAGGGCGTATAAAATAGGCTAACATCATATAAGATAAGAAAATGATAATAACGCTAATCGAAAACCGGATACGTCAGATTCTCATCTTTCTATCTACCAAGTAATCTTTCTTTCGTATAAATGATAATCTTATTCTCTGATAGCAGTCCTATAGAAGATTATCAATGATACTCTTCTGTTCTTCCTCTTGACATAGAGTGTTCGAAAGAAATCAGATCAGATCAGATCAGATCAGATCAGATGCAAAATCTGTTTTATGTGGAATTTTGGAATAAGATAAATTTTATGTGAAAAAATAATACTTGTAACGAATTTATTTGAAATGAATTTCATTCCATGCCACCTGTATGCTCATTTTATACAAAATAGATTTTGAACATGCTTGTTGCAAGCATTAACAAGTACACGAGAGTTGGGTCGCAGGCCGCGGCCCGCGGGAGCTCGTCCGGATCTGCCCGACTTTATCCGACCTGGCCCGAAATGGTCGGGCTACTCGACTGCGCGCATCTATCGGACGCCCGCCCGAGTCCGCCCGATTTTTTCCGAACCGACTCGAATAAGTCGGGCTACCCGACTGCACGTATGTATCGGACACCCGCCCGAGTCCGCCCGATTTTTCTCGAGCCCGTCCGAGCCCGCAATATCGTGTACCCGCACATCCCTAGTACCTATTGTTGCAGTTTGAACGATGCATCCTGGAGTATGACAAAACCTTCGAGAGACGTGTCACGTCGTCTTTCATAGAATCCAATGTGAACGTCTGACGTCACCGAATGATTTCCGAGTTAATCACACGGCGAATGTCAATGAATGACTCAACCTGACTCACAGTGAAAGTTCCTAAGCCCTAAGCCAATTCGCGGCACTATGCACCGATAGACTTGCCACTTCGTTGTGTACATAATGTACTTTTACCATCATTTACGATCTCTTGGTGCTTTCATTCATAGAAACAATGATAACGATTGTCTTTTTATTTTTATTTGATAGCAAATTTCTTCATTATTAATAACTCGTTGAGTACTCTTAAGCTACTTACGACTTATTATTAAATTATTATTAGACGATATAAAGGGTTAATATACCGAGGTAGGAGGCAATGGACAATAGACTGATTTTGAAAAACAATTTTTTGTTATAATTGAACATTCCCACCAGTTTCCAAGAATTCTAGATTGACTTTAATCAAGTGTACATAGTGTCAATTATTTCGAATACTAATAATAGTGTCTATTTGCTATGAACACTTCAACGTGGGTTTTTCTGAGGATTACAAGAGACTTATGCAAATGGACAGATTAGACACACCGAATAAGATGAGAATAAATAAGATACAATACATGAACCCTTTTCCACTCATTTAAATAACTATTTGAGTCATTGAAAAACTTGTACCAGTTGGAGCTGCAACTTTATTAACCAATTTGTATAATGAACATTAGGATAAAATGAAATAAAATAAAATAAGATAAAGGAGCGCGTTTCTTGGCACTTTCCAAACATTCAAGGAAAAACGAAACGTAATAACGTACTTTCACAACTGCTAAAAGCAATCGTTAACGTGAAACGTCCAATCACGCGATATCGCGTGCTCTCAAGAGTCGGTGGCTCTTAGTAGATATACATAATTCTTAATTCCCAATTCTCAGCCACGAGACACGAGACACCACGTGTTACATGCATTCGACTCCGCCGAGAAACGTTCGGCGTCGTACGAAAGCCATGTGAACATTTTTTGCTTTCATCTTGGCATCGGTCGTCGAGATAATGCTCGTTCTCGAGAACCAACACTCGACACTTGACAAAAGTAAAATAAAAATGCATGTCAAATGCGCCCGATCCTTGTTCGTGTTTCGTTTGAAATAAAAGTATGTACCTAACGGTGTCATTTGTATGAGATGAATGCGTGGATGGAATATATGATATGCCATTTTTGTTTTCGACTTACCGCATTAATTCCTTTCACGATTCATTCGTCATTGCGTATCGTGACCACCGGGACATCGGCGATAGAGGAAAACACGGGAAAATTGTACTTTCGATTCCTCTTGACTTTTGACTCATCGAATGATACTCCAAACGCTTCGATCCGTACAGGTCAGTTTTATTGCACAAAAATTCATCAAATTTACAATAATCGTATTAAGCAAAAAATCGTCACTTCGAATACGTTTAACGAGACGCACTTTTCCTTCATTTTCACGTTGACGGTTTCGATCACGGTTTATTTTTAACGAATCGATTTTTAATTTTCAGTTTCCTGATACTCCGCTCGTTGATGTCGATGTCGATAACGATCCAAGAAGAAACAACAATATTCCCAAGCAAATCGAACCGTAACGCGAAACGATTCGGCAACAATCCATGCTTCACCGTCGCCGTGACTAGACTGCCTTACCGCGTTAGTTCTGGGCCCGGCGGTTGCCGAAGGGAGGGGGGTCAGCCCGCGGAACTGGACGAATAGACACGAACGTAAACTCGCGCATGCGCAATAAGGTAAACGTCGGCTCACAGGGGCGCGCGGTAAGACCCAAACGAATTTGAAAGTACATACATACTTTTTTAATTAATTACACTTCAAATTATCATCGATGTGGACTATGCTTTCCGCCAAGGTCATTGTTAATATTTAAAATAATGTTTTATTCAACAGAAAAGTAATACTTTTTTTATTTTGCTATTGAATTTTGAAAATTTTGAAAATTTTAAATTAGATTAGTTATAAATCGTTGTGAAATTTCAAAACCAAAGGAAAAAGGAAATGAAAAAGAAGAAAGAAAAAAAGAAAAAAGAAACAAGAAGAGGTACGGTGCCACTTCCGATTTATTAAGGGCGCGGTGTACGCTCTTCCTGTATGGACGCTTGTATCCAGCTGCTGCTTACTCCCCTTCTACGGTGTACAGTAGCTTGGTAACGAAATGTAATTATTTTTAAAAAGGATGTAGGGACCGTTCGTGTTTTCAGCGTCGTTCAAATCGAGCGTAGGTGCTTGAAAAGTAAGTGACCGGGGATATGTCCGATCGCTGTTTCTATAAATCATTCTCTGCGTGCAATCGTACACCTACAGTCTGTTTCAAATTGAAAGTTGTCGTTAAAAATTGACTACTTGGATCTTTTCTCAAACCATTGGATTCTTTCACATCGCACGATTGATTCTCAAATCGTTGAACCTCTGACAGAATTTCATGACATGCAATACCATTTATACTACATCAATTTTAAGGTTAAACTTTTCAAGAAAAAGAATATACGAATGATTGTTATTTTAAAAGCAAAGAAACGATCGAACGAAGAAAAGAGTTTTCCGTTACTTTCGTCACTTTTAAAGTGAACAATTGACAATGAGCGAAAGAAATGTTTGCATAGTGCATAATTATAGCTGCTAAGAGACTGGTAATGCATTCTAAGCATAAATGCATCCGTAGCGTGGCATGTTAAACGTCGTTTGTCAAGCGAGTTCACTGATTTCATCATGGAAGGTTTTACCGCCCTCGGATTTTCTTAACGACGCTTGAACAACGAAACAGAGCCATTATAATTCGCATTAAGAAATCTGCTAGCCAATGGTACAAGGAATGTTAATAGTTTCATTTATACGAAGAGCGTAAATGAAAGTAAAAGAAAAGAAACGATGCAAGTGGTTATTCAAATATGAAATGTATTATAATAAAATGTGTGGATATACAGAAAAGTACATTTCTACGTGAACTCAATATACTTCTGTTAAAACCGATAAAATAGATTTCCTGAGGTTCTCTTGTTGACCAAGAACAGTATATTCACGCTTGCGCTCTCTTTATATTTGGAAAACTAATTTCCACGAGAGAATTCGGTGCTCCAGTCAGTCGACTTGCGGAATTAGTCAGTTTCGGAGCAACGTTTCGTTCTTCTTTCGATTCTTTTAATTATTCAAATTTCTTCAATCACAATACAGTTCTCTTTCCTCTTTTTTTTTCTTCTTTTTCCTTTTCCGAAAAGTAAAATACAATTCGACGCTTAATTAGTAATTTATTTGTCGCTTCGAAAAAAAGTAACAGAAAACAGAGAATATCCTATTTATTTTTGGAAATAACAAACTTTTTCAATTTTTCACAAGTTTTCCCCTGCAAGCGGATAGTGGAGTTATTAAGAGAAGAAAAGTGAAGGTATTAAGTGAAATTCCGTAAATGAGTCGCATCAATGAATCGAGGAGCAACAGTGTCTACTTCTCACGAAGGTGAGTAAAGAACAAAACTTTCCCAACTGAAAGTATACATACAGTATAAGAGTTAAGCGTAGATGTGCACCATCTACGTGAACAACGATCAAAGAAATTGCAGTGAATCCGTAATTTCCGAAGAATGCAATCGACAGATGAGAGAAAAGAAGAAAATCAAAAGAGAAAAGTCAGAATACATAAGAAGATACATTGTACATAGAGTATCTCGTTGAAGTTTACTTTCGCCCGAAAGAGTTTATCGTTTCGAGTGACGAAAATAGATTTCTGTCTTCCTCTTCGACGCCCTGCGGTGAAAAAATAAAAGAATTTCCGATGCATTTTCGCGGTCTGCAAATAAAGGTGAAAGGTGAAAGCAACGTACGGATGAGAATCGAGAAAAAATACTGAAATGAAATGAGAATTTTAAGCAAAATGAAAGTTTTTCTCCTCTTGTAACATTCTATGAATATCCAAGAGTATGTAAACGTTTGAATAATGAAAATATCATGGAATATGGCAACGAACGTACGGAAGTAATGTAATCTACTCGATATCGGATGAAAGAAGTTGAATTATTTCGATTCGAAACGATGGCAGTGACATTTTCAATTTTTCCTAATTGCTAATCTCATAGCGATTCCTCCATACACGTGATAATTGTTGCAAGTATTTTAAGAAGCATTTCAAGTATATTTTGAAAGTTATGCTTATTCGTAGTATGATTGAAGGAAATTGGTATTTACCGCGTGTAAAGCGAGGCGCGGTCAGAAGGATTAAGTTGGTTCAGATATTTGAATAATTAGAACTAGTCAATATATCTATTCAACAATACTGTTACCTATGTATTTCAATACTATATTGATTTCTTCCCATATGTTTCAATATTAGATTGATTATACCATATCGATCCCTTCCCATAGACCAATATATCCATTCAATAGTAGAAGTAGAGCGAGATTCGCTCTAAAGCCAACCCCGAACAGACCGGAAGTGGCAAAAAAAATTTTTTCGGCCATTCCTTGAAATTTTGACCCAAGAATTTTTTCGATAACGCTTTTGTCCTGTACAAAAGTGACAGAAAATCTAAATGCTTTAGCCCCCTTCTCAAGATTTTCAATCTTAAATATGGGTTGGCTAATGAAATTTCGTAACTCGTCTCCGCCAGTTTTTTACGCTCCTGCGCAAAACGACACCTGTCTTGTCTACCATGCTGTTCGCAGATGGAGTACTGGATGGCGAGCAACGAGACCGGTCACAATGCCCGAGAAGAGACAATCCAGGAGGTCCTCAAACACCCCGGATCGGCTATCCTTTTCCTCGGTTATCCACCATGGCTTTTACACTTTGCCGCCAGCTGTTGCATACTATTCATGCTTGTCGGTATTCCTGGAAATCTCTTCACCATTATTGCCCTCTGTAGAACTAAAAAGGTCAGCATAACATTATTATATTTTCCATTCCTTTTATTTTTTAGTTTCTTTACTTTCACCCAATTTGCATGCTACGATACGTCTGTTGCTAATGTTTTACTGAAAAATCAATATAACTTTTTGTTTTGCAAATAAAAGCATTGAAATATTTTTACGCGGAACGAGATAGATTACACGCCGCGTCGTGGTTGCTTGAGTTTCTAGCGCAACCAGCTTCTTGGGATTTAATTCTAATACCAAACAATAGCTGAATAAGTGGTTTACCTTGAATTTCGAATTTCTACAATAACTAATAATTTTAATTAAATTTAATTCAAAAAAAGTACATATCATTAAAATTGAATAACATTTAATTTCTAAATATATATTAATAATTTTAATTCTACAAAAAAAATATTATGTATCTAGCTCTCTTAATTTCGAAAAATTTTTTAATTAACCCTGATAAAACTTTACTTTATTTATAAAAATCTTAAAATTTCATTTACATTACTATTTCTATAAATAAATGTATTATTTCTTAAAAACTACTGTAACTCTTTATTTTTATAAAACTTTTTTCTAAAATAATTTCCATTTTCAATTAAAAATCTTTATTTAATTAATTATATTGGATCTACTCGCACAAACAACGTTTAATTGTAGAAAAACTAAATTTATGGAATTTTACATTTCTGCAAAACGCATGACATAGTACAAGTTACAGACACACAGGTATTTATCTTTTGAAAAAGTATATTTACCGTTCGCTCGTCTGATAACTGATAAGTTGTTCTTTCACCATGATACCTCGCACGATTTCATTTCTCACAAATCCAGGCTTTCGATTCCGACGTTGCTCGTTGAGAAGTTAACTTTGGAAATCTCATGCACAACTTTGTTTTCCTAAATTTCAAAGATCCAACAAACATATTCGTGCCAACTCCGATAGTTGATGCAATCGATGAACTAGAATTAAACCAGGAAGAAACATAATATCTTTGTGTTTTATTGCACAATGGTGAATTTTGTTGATCAATACGAAATTTGAAATTCGAAATTCCGATCGATTTCACATTTCCATTTCCATTTCCATTTCCATTTCATTTTATCATCGAAATTATATTTCTAATTAAATCTATTGCTAACAGTGTAGTACATTATAATAAATTTGTTAATAAAGAGATATGTACTGTGCACCGATGAACAAAAGTCTCGCGGGACGACATAGGGGCAAGAGGGATACTACGCACACATCGACTGACTCCCTAGTTTTACACGAGCTTGATTAGTAGATGTGATCACTTCGACCAATCATACGTCACGAACGAAAGTACGTGTGAGCTGAGGTGGGGCGCAACCAATCGGACTGTGGCCTTTTCATGAGTCCATCGGTGCACAGTAGCTGCTATGGGAGCCTGTAGGTAGGCAACCAAACTTGTATTCCTGTATATCAAACTGCATACCTTAAAGGATTAGGCGTTAAAAAAGAATATTGTTCACCGATCACAAGAACTCCCATGAGAATAACGTAATCTGATTGTCCCATCCCACCTCAACTCACACGTGCTTTCAGTCCCAATGTATGATTGGTCAAAGTGGTCTACTATGTAGATTCGTGTAAAACTAGGGGGTTAGTCGATGTGTGCGTAGTATCCCCTTGCCCCTATGCTGTCACGCGAGACTTCTTGTGATCTGTGTATAGTACTTATTTATTTAAAATTAGAATTGAAAATGAAATTAAAATTGACATTGACATTGAAGTGTGTAATTATACAGTAAGTAGAATAGTTTTTCTTTTTTTTTTCTTTTGGTTGTTTTAATTTTTACAATTGAATATATGTGGCAAAGTTTATAAAAATAATTGTAAACAATTATTATGATATATTTACCGTGTTAATTATCATTTGACAGCTAAGGAATGCAACAGCGATCTTCATAATCAACCTATCCATCTCAGATTTAATGTTCTGCTGTTTCAATCTTCCTCTTGCTACATCAACATTCTGGCATAGTTCTTGGAATCATGGAGCACTCTTGTGTCAATTATTTCCTTTATTAAGATACGGCCTGGTAGCAGTCAGCCTCTTCACAATATTATCAATCACAATTAATCGTTACGTTATGATAGGTCATCCGAAACTTTATCGTACGTAAGTAGCTAAACGTTACATCTTTCTATTATTCGAAATTATTCGAATAATTACAATTTATAATGGTTAGTCGAATATACACTGGTGAAATTAATTCTGGACACTTCGCATAAAAATATTCTTTATTTCATATTTGTGCAGTAAATGCATATTCTGCTATGCTAAATTGGTACCGTAATATTTTTATTGTAATCTATAATGTTTATACTTAATATTTTCACATGATTTGGTTTGTAAATGTTTTAAAATTGTAATTTAAAAAAATCTAAACTATGTTGTTATTTTTATTTTTGCGCCTGGCAACACGAAACGACGGATGGTGTGAAATAGCCAATCACAGAATGAAAGGATATCCAGCGAAATATTTTTTTTTCCACCTCCTTTGATATGTTAGAATTGTAATTTTTATTCTATATTAATAATATGGCTGTAAACAGGGCCGGCGTTGGGGGGGGGGGGGGGGGGGGGGGGGGGGCAATCGTCCGGGGCGCTAGATCTGTAGGGGGCGCCGCGGCCCGGTGTTCCTAGTATTTATTCATTTATATCCGTTTAGATTAGTAAAGCTGCTATGTAGTTTAACAATTTTTACAATCTAACTACAGATTCATCATTTCATATTATTACCTTGGCTTTTTTTCTTAAAACTTTTGAGCCCCTGAATGAGCGCCAAGATAATCTTGCCCAGGGCGCCAATATCCCTAAAACCGGCACTGGCTGTAAATGGTCTTTTTACTGATTTTTTTATATAAGCAACGCCCTAAAATTAGAAAGCAATGATTAGAATATAAAATATAAATGATTATATATTAAATAATTTGAATAAATGCGAAATTTAAGTGAAAATTTAAAAGTGTCCAGAATTAATTCCACTAGTGCATGCATGTATATTATAGCAGCTGTTATTTTCAGAGTATATAAAGGAAAGTATTTAATTCCAATGGTTCTGAGTACATGGATAATCGCGTTTGGTGTACTGATCGTAACATGGTTTGGTAGCTGGGGTCGTTTCGGATTGGACATAGCAATCGGTTCCTGTTCCATTCTTCCAGATGCGAACGGTCGAAGTCCAAAGGAATTTCTTTTCGTCGTTGCTTTTCTCATACCTTGCATCGCTATCGTCGTTTGTTACGCAAGAATCTTTTGTATCGTTCGGAAAGCAGCATTTAAAAGTAGGAAACCACATGTTACCGCCGATAATGTCAATACCGACGTTATCGATATCAGTCAGGAGGTAAAAATGATCATTTTTAATATTTGTCGTTGAACATTGCAAATTTATTCACCTTACTATGATACTATTCTATCCTGTACACTGACAAGGGAACATCGGGGACTAATACACTCCGATTTTGATGAAACTTTGCATAAATATTTCTTAGACCTGTTTATGAAGATAGCTGTAATTCGTTGGTGCCCGTTTTTCACTTTGAGGGAGATATCAACCCTTTTATCCGAAACGCCCTTTCTATATACGTGCTTATAAATCGTAAACAACAAAAGATATAAAAAAATAGTTGAAATAAAAGTTATACCGTTTCTTGAGGTCTATAAAGCTGCGTAAAGTTTTTCAAAACGGAGGGGGAGGAGGAATTCAATTTTGCAAAAAGGATGATTTAAAAAAAAAACTTACACGCAGCTTTATAGACCTCGAGAAACGGTATAACTTTTACTTCAACTATTTTTTTATATCTTTTGTTGTTTACGATTTATAAGCACGTATATAAAAAGGGCGGTCTAATAAATATTTATGCAAAGTTTCATCAAAATCGGAGTGTATCAGTTCCCGATGTTCCCTTGTGAGTTGCAATGAACTTGTCGTAGTGAAGTTGGCCACGCATTCACTCACCGACGCGGCGTAAATGCGTAGTGAATAGTGTACAGTACACTATAAACTATACACTATACACAAATATAAAGTGATTCGATTCCATATATCCGTGTTATTTGTTACAGCAACGACCTGCGTCGGGCAGAAAGCAAGAAGTTCCGTCAACATTCAAATCAAATTACACATCAACTGTTCCCTATGATGTTTGCTTGAAACAGCCGACTATGTCAAATCAATTAAATAATTCTGAAAACGAGGAAGAATCCAAAATGCAACAACATTCATCGAATTATACAGAAAAGAAGGAAAGAGAATTTTGGAAAAATGATGAAAATGTTTTGGAAAAAATTGATGATATACCATACGCGGATGAACGTTGCGATGAAAGCGAAGTAATGGAAAGTGAAATTTTTGCGATTAACAATAAAATGAAAGAATCGTTTGGTAAGAGGGGAAATAAATTGGAAAGAATAGCGAGTAGAGCTTCTTTTATAATCGAGTCAAGCATTTGGGTTGAAAGGCTGGAAAGCTCGAGAACAAACTCCCCTGATCGTTTAACAAAAAAACAAGCTACGATTATTCCAAGGGAATCAACATTTAAGAGCGTAAGAAGACGGAAAAAGCATGACGGTCCAGTAAAGATGAGTAACAAAGATAGAAAGCTGTTGAAAATGATTCTTGTGATATTTTCATCGTTTCTCATCTGTTATTTACCGATCACTATTACGAAAACCTTTAAAGATGCTATCGATTGGAGAGGATTAAATATAGCTAGCTATATATTAATTTATTTAACCACCTGTATAAATCCTGTTGTTTACGTGGTAATGAGCTCCGAGTACAGAAGTGCTTATAAAAATGTGTTATTTTGCAGAAATGAAATTAGGAAGGAGGCTCGGAAATCGTTGGAATAAAAAAAGACAGCTGCTTTTTCATTTTATTTCAGCTACTATGTATGTATGGTATGTCCCTACATATATAGGTAAGTATGATGAAATAGTATTTATGTTACCACATCAATTGATGTAATTGCTTCGAATTTGAAGAAAATTACTAAATAGAGAGCTCATTAATATTCTTCGTTAATATTAAATAATTAAGATTTGAATCGGCACATTCCATAACTAAAGCTATTGGTAATTTCATGTATGTATGAAATATGTACACACAGCTGATAAGCGCACAATACTTTGTTAACATAACAGATCTCATAAACAATGCGATCTGAATGTAACGTTGAGAACGTTGAAAATATAGAATATATTACTCATTTCTAATTACAAACTAATTTATAAGTTAATTACATATTATTTTGTAATAATCCTTAAAAACATGAATAACAAGACGCACTTAAATAAAATGTTATTTAACAGTAACGACGACAATGACAATAACAATAACAGAAAACACTATATGCAAACTAGTAAAATTGTTTACAAAAATAAGCGAAAAATTACTTATTATTAGATAGTAAAGAGAACTGAAAAAAAAGAAAACTGTATATACGTAATTTACAAACTGCTTTTAACAATCTATTTCAATATTCTGTGATCGCAATTAAATAAATTTCAACGGATTGAGCAACTTATATATTATTATTGTATTGTATATAGTGTATTACGTCGGCATTAAGTTTTGAGCGAAGACCGAAGACCAAAGACCGTGGATCTGTGCTCTATTATACATACATATGTATGTACATACATTAGGGATATACCAGTACCCGATATTAAGGGTTCGGGTACACTCGCAAAAGATCGGGCGGGCTCGGGCTGGTATCCAATACATACATGCGTGCAGTCGGGTGGCCCGACTGTTTCGGGTCAGGTCCGATACAGTCGGGCAGGTTCGGATGAGCTCTCGCGGGCCGCGGCACGTAACCCAACTCTCATGTACTTGTTAATGTTTGCAATAAGCATGTTCAAAATCTATTTTGTATAAAATGAACATACAGGTGGCATGGAATAAAATTCATTTCAAATAACAAGTATTATTTTTCCACATAAAAATTATCTTATTTCAAAATTTCCCATGAAACAGATTTTGCACATGCTTATTGCAAGTATTAACAAGTGCATAAGAATTAGGCCGCGGCCCGCGGGAGCTCGTCCGAATCTGCCCGACAGTATCCGACCTAACCCGAAACGGGTCACGCGTGTATCGGACACCCGCCCGAGCCCGCCCGATTTTTTCCGAACGGACCCGATTAGTCGGAAACTACATGTAAGTACACTGTACATACATGCGTACCTGATAACGTAGATCCACCCCCTTGCGATTAGACATACGTAGTAATTGTCTAGTTTCGGGGAACCAACGGTGGAAGGCCTACTTAATTGTTGTCTAGTTTGGGCAGTACCGTAACACTTCGTATCGTGCTAATATTCATGGTAGGTGGCCATTTTTTCTGCTCATCGTCTTTGCCATTCTGAAACTGTGGTGTCAGTTTGATGATATTCAACTTATTCTTATCCTTGTTCTTCAAATATAAAACACCAGCTGCTCCAGTTGCACAAGCGCCGACGAATATCGTTAACCATTTTAAAAATCTATTCGGTAAACGATGAACGTAAATCAAAGTAACTACTTTCTTTTTTCAAAGCAACTACTCACCCAACTATACTTATCACTTTGAGTAAGGTCTTTACTACTTTCACGTACTCGTCGTCAAGCAATATACCTTCTTCTATCCAGAATAAGGGCAACAAACATTCCGGGAAATGTTTCATTAATTTCACTTTTTCCATCGGATGAAGGAACATATTAAATTGCAATTTTTGCGCTGCCTGTAACGGAGCGGCTGTCATTGGTTCGAGATCAATAGCAATCTCGTGTTTCTCCTGCAAAAAGAAACTGAACTTATTGTTAGGGTACTGGCCTAGCTACTAGGCTTTATGTATGTAGCTGCCTTTCAAACGGTAGATTGTATAAATGAAGAAAAGTTTGCCTTGTGTGGATCAAGTCCTTCGACCATTTCCAGGTACTTTTTGTTCGAGCCATAAAAGTGTGGTAGAGAAGCAACGATAGGCAAGCCTAGGCATTTGTACAAATCCATCAAATTCTTTGTTAAGCAGGTATGCGGTGTAGGGCAATAACATTTCTCTTCTGGATTTGTACTCATATCTCCTAAACCGGCTGTATAATGGTACACGTTGATACCTATGAAACAAACAAACTATTATAAAAAAATTTGAAAGGAAAATTAGCTTTTACCTTTAACAGTGGTTCTGTGACTGTATTGAACGCCTAAGTTCCTGCAAAGATCCGCCGCGAACGTCATAAGTTCCTGTCCTTCTTTGATCAACGGTGGAAAAATCGTGGTATCCGTGCCATTGTACCGATTACAATGTTTCTCGCTCCAAATCGACAACTCTGCTTTTCCATCGTACTCGACCACCCGTCCCACGTCCCGATAATTCTTTATTCCGCGCAACACCCTAATGCGTTTCGGTGCCGCCGAGCCATTTCTCTATGCCAATAAATTAAGGCTAATTAAAGGGTTAATCTTGTCGAACTTACCACCTACTTACACGGACAGGAGAGCAGAACTAAGCAAGAAATAGTAAATTACTCTTACAGAACCAAGTAAAGAGAAGCGGTAACGTCCCTCGCCGTCCGATATTAAACCATTGTTTTCACCTTTTTCTTTTAAAACCTTACAAGTCGCAGTTCCGGCAAAGTCTTTCACTGTACAATCGATAGGCAAACCATCGAAAAGTATATCCTTCGCTTTCGCTCTGACAAACACAGTGCCGGGTTTCTTGAAAATACTATCCACCGCTTTACCTATAAAGTGCAATTAATTAAACATCAGCAGCAATATTAAATTGACGCGGAAATTAATGAATAGGTAACGAGGGTAATTATTTAGAAGTTTGCCCTCCTCACCGATTTTCGTGACCTTGAAATATGTTGTCAAGGTCATCATTCTGAACAACTTTTCCTTTTACATATTACCACCGCTCGGCCTTAGTTTCCGAGATATTTGCAAAAATCTTTAGTTATACTTAGATTACGAGTACACTGTATTCCGGGAAAAATGGAGACTGAATGGTGATTGAAAGAGTGATTGAAGTGGTTTGAGGTTATGGTTAGGGTTAGGGTTTTGTTTTTGATTTTTTCACGTTATAATTACTCTTTCTTTCACCTTTTATATATTGTATACCTGTTATTTATTTTGTGTTTCGTCAGAAATCGAAAACATTTCGACCATCATGTCGAAAAATGCCATTATACGCTCATTCACATCATGTTGACGTCAGAATAAAAATTAAGCTATATATCCCACGTAATGAGACATACGAGATACGAGTTCCATAACGAGGAATATTAGCTCTCGTATCACGCCATGTACGCTCTAAAATTAAACCTAACCTACACTTAATCCTAATTCTAACCCTAACCTCAAACCACTTCAATCACTCTTTCAATCACCATTCAGTCTCCATTTTTCCCGGAATACAGTCTACTGGTGACATAAGTATAACTACAGTTTTTGACGAATATCTCGGAAACTAAGGCCGAGCGGCGGTAACATGTATAGGGAAAAGTTGTTCAGAATGATGACTTTGACAACATATTTCAAGGTCAGGAAAATCGGTGAGGAGGGCAAACTTCTAAATAATTACCGTAACGAGTATACAGTGAGTGTAATAAGTGTTTGGACACCGTTTAAAACAGAATACCTCATTTAAAATTGGACCAAACGACTTTAGGTTTTTTAAGCAGTTATACAAATTAATTTACTAAGACATGTGCTTATGTCGTTTTAAAAAATTACTATTTGTTGAAATCGTGAAAGAAAATAGTGAAGGGTAATTTTTCATCTTTTTTATGTGAGCCTATAATGAAAATTTAAAATATGTCTTTCGTAGATTCAAATAATATTATGAGTACACTGAAAATTTCATCGAGATCGGTCAATGCACTTAGAAGTTACAAGTAATTAAAATTTCCGAAAATCGCGACTTTTAATACTATATAAGAACATAACTGGTCACGTTCTTAGATGACAAGTCGCGATTTTCGGAAATTTGAATTTTTCTCTTTTTCTATTTCTTTTTCTTGTCTTTTTAAAGAAAAAGAAAAAACACAAGATAATGGTACACTCACCGACGATTCCTATTGCGCTTGGTTGTTCGATTAGCGTAATTTTAAACATGCCCAGTATAAAAAGGTGAGGCACAACCACTTCTTCTTCGCCGGTTAAACCATTGCTTAGCGATGGATTAAAGTACCAGGTCGATTTGAAATTGTACTCGACAGTGTCGTCTTCTTCTCGATCTTCTAGATTCACTTTATGCTTGTATTCGCTATAAAATTTCATAATAAATAGTTATTCGTCATTCCTTTCTCTTCTGCTTGCTCCATGCTTACTCGTAAAAAAATGGTCCCACTTCTTGAACAATTGGCTTAGCTCCTGCCAATATTTCCGTAGGATTGGTTACGTTAAAAATATAAATTTTGAAATCTAACGGAAGCGGGAAAGTGGCCCATAGTTCGCGAATATCCGCGCCAGGTTTTAGCGCCGCTTGCTAAAATTTTTCATATTTTATAATTATTTATTTCAAAATGCAAACATCGACTCGTTAATAATTCAACGATCACTGTATGAAAATGGTTATTTGTAGAGTTACGATTCTTCAATACTTTCAGTATCACCTATTCTAATTGGATGAAAATATAAAACAATAAAATAAAAATCTACATACTTGCAACGAATAAATAGCAGATTCTGGCACGATGAAATGTAAAATGAAACGATTATATAAAGTCGGAATTAACGCGTCTGATGATGGACGACAACCACACAAAGTGCTAATTATTTGCATTACTAATATTTAAATAATGACGAGCTAAATATGAATATTTATGAAACAAACCAGTTTAATATGTAAATCAATAAAAAAATATTTTGCTGAATATCGAATAAATCTGTAAGACGACATGGAGAGGGAGGGAAAGAAAAATCTAACTTACCTTCCTAATTTGTGATCTTAGAAATGCAGGAAAAATTACCGCACAAACGAAAATTCCAAAGCTAAGCATCGAACCACCGACAATTCCTAATATTTTCGGTCTCATATTAACACCCTAGAAAGATCACAATTAATGAGAAATACTAACCAACTTTCACCACTCCTTTAACAAAGTCAAAATCAAAGTCAAAGTCAAACTGAAATTCCGAAAGCAGAATTCGTACGATCAAGGAGGAGATAACGTTAAGTGGAGAAAAAGGAAAAAAAATAGAAAAAGAAATTAATATTAAACCAAGCAGCATTGGGAACTTGATAGAAACTAAAAAGGTAATTTGATAAAAAATGTAACGCCAGAAAATATCCAGGATCGTTTGACGATAAATCAAATATACGACGATCAAACTCTGAATACCTTGCATCTGTTCAAAGTACGAAGAGTATTTCGGTTTTTCGTTAAATACGATAACCAGCTTGAAATGAACGTGTACGTAAGATCGAGGTATCAATGAAAAATACGTGTAAATGATTTATAAATTAGTTGTTTGATATTCATTTCATTCCCACTGTAATTAGCCTGGCGTAATCATCGCGACGCTATTAGATAGAATCCTCTTTAGTTTTCACTTTTCGATAGGAGGATGATGAGAAATATCATCGAGCGATCATACCTTGAGATCTCAAGAATCACCGGTGATCTACGATGTAGAGATCGTTGATAAACGATCTGAATTTTATTTCGCGATGCGACCCGGCACACTTTCGTCCTGATGGATCGTCGTCGTTGTCGACGGTCGTCGAGTATTCGCGAAGAAGAACTGTTTCGTCTCGAGGAGCGTCAATGTCGCTAACCGACGACCACGACCTTACGCGTCCATTCCTGCGTTACCACGTATCGTCAATTTTTTCCCCTCAACTTTTGCGTGACCACGTTCACGATCAAGCTGGAAGGATGATTCGTGATACTTGGAATTGAATAGGAAAGTATAAGTCAAGCTGGATCCTTGATATCTACGTATAAGATGAGAAGTGAATTTATAAAATAAATAATAAATTGTCGTATTTTGACGTAGAGTTAGAATAATCCTTTGGAGTTGTCAAGTCTCATAGAGCCCATAGTCTAGAGCAATGGTTCTTAACATTTTTGAAGTCAGGGAACACTTCTGATTATATGACAAATTTGCGGAATACCAGAATTAATGATTCAAAAAACAAACAAAAACATCCCACGTAGAAATAAATATATTTTATAAAATATATTATTAAATATATTTAATACATTTTAAAATATATAGTTTATATATTTGATGAAATAGAAAAATAATATATTTTATAAACAGAAATAAAATATGCAGACATGACTTTTATTAAAAATTAAACTGATGAGTTAGTTAGTTAATAGTTTATTGCATGGGGACTTGATGTCCATTACAATTTTGTTCTTATTTTTCTTGCACGTTACTTATTTAACTTATATATCTAGATTGCTATAATATATTTTAGTTACTATATTGTAATATAATACATTACTACAATACGTTTATTGTAGTACTGTCTATTATGTATATAAAATATATTACTTTACTCATTTCTCTTTTTTTATTTTTTTTATTTTTATCACATCTTCAATTTTTGGCTGGTATCTATTCTTCTTTTCCTTTCCTATTCAGTCTCCTTCTAAACAGAATGCTCTTAGTTAGTCTTATAGCATTTTTTATGAAGTTCCCTAGTTCCCATGTTTGCTTCTCCGTATTTGTCTTTAATATCTCTATTAGTGGTTTATTTCTCATTGAGATGGAAATTAAACTGATTATTACATAACAGAAAAAATAAAATTAATTAAAAATATATACATATACATATATTGTCGAATTAAATTTAAATTTTAAATTTCAGGCTAAAGTCGTTTAATGTCATACCTGAGCTTCTGCAGATTTCTGCGATATTAGGTCTAATATTTGATATAGCTACTCTTAATTCTTCGTTTAAATTGGTAAGTCTTCTTAGTTTTTGTATTTGTAATTGTCGAGAAACCGAGCTCGCACAAATATGAAGTTGAAAACTGTAGCAAGATTTTCAGTGCTCTTATGGAGAGAACTGGGTATTCGTCTCGAACGAATCCACGTTTTATTAAATTAATACTTATATTATATCGGCTTTCATAATTTCGCGGAACACTTGTAAAAAGCTCGCGGAACACCGGTTAAGAACCAGTGATCTAGAGTCTAGACGACTAGGGATTTATTCTTCTACAACGAAGAAGAGAGCAAAGAACAAATTGACAAGGGGACTAATTTTCAAGTCCCTTCCATTATTCTAGAAATTAGTAAATATTGCTTTATATTATAGATATACATATATAGGTATACATACATACTTATAGATTAGCGTTATAGATTTATTCGTGAAAAAGTAACAACTGTTTGTTTTCGTGTCAAGTATAACGCCTATCGAGCGGAAAGGTGTAGAATAATCTATTAAATATGAGCTTTCTATAGGTACCCGTTACACGCTAGAACACGCGTTCGATTTCAAAACTTCTACGTTATCAGTTTTACTTGCAACTTGTGTCAAACAGACTTACTTGAATAACACTGTCCAACAGTTTTATTACCACTTAATGCAACTGTTGTGGTTAGGGTATATTAAATGAATGAATCGCAAATGGTTTGATATAAAAAGGAAATGAAAGTATATACATTCAATTATAAGAAAAAGAAACGAATACATGTAAGATACATCCTTTTACTCTGAAGGATCACGATAGACTGACTGGCCCGGGCAACGCCAACAGCAGTCCGGTGACGCATACACACTAGCGGTTCGGTCCCGGTCCGTTCTTGGTCCGGTAAAATATACTCCAATGTAAATCTTATGAGAGCATACACAATATGCGTCCGCTCCAGTTCCGGTTCGATTACGCTCCAGTCCCGGTCCGGTCTCGATTTCTCACGAAGAATATTTTCCTGGGACGGGACTGCGCTCCCTCGTTTGATTTCCACCTTGTAGTGGCATTTCCGGAATTAGCTATGAGTTTTCTACAATAAACTTTGAAGGTTTGTGATAAAATCCCAAATGCATACTCGATTAATCTTCTTCCTTTACATAATCGATAATTAAATTTTTTTTTTTAATATCTTCTATACTTTTTGATCCTAGATAAGGCCGCATTAAATATTTCTTTAATGGAAATTCTTTAATATCATTATTTTTTAACCGACTTTGAAAAAGGAGGAGGTTACTCAATTCGATCAGTATATATATATATTTTTTTTTTTCCATATGAACCTATATCTACAGCAGTAAATTTATAATTTGCATCTACTAATGCCAAAAGTACAATCGGAAAAGACTTTTTATAATTGACTATCAGATCAAGAGCGGCTCGAAAGTGGCATAGCAGTATGGGTACGGTAAGATTTTGCTGAAACGGCAAACCTTGGGGATAGTAAAAGGACAACGGAGGTCTCATTGTCAATTCAAAATTGGCTGAGGAGAACGTTTGACAGAAATCATGTAACCCCAAAACAATTTTTAACGAACATTGTATATTATCAACGGACTACGTTTAAATAAAATATTATTATACTGAAAACGATTATACTTTCATTAAACCATATTTATGACATCTGTAGGGTATATATAAGATATCTTTAGGGCATTCATAAGACAATTTTAAAACGTCTGTAAGACATCTGTCGGATATCAGTAGGACATCTTTAAGACATCCCGTTTTCTAACATAGGATATTTACAGTACGTATTTCAGGCATTCGCAGGACCTTTCGGATATTCGTAAGATATCCTCAATATCTGAAACAGATATCTTTAAAGTGTTTTAAAGGCGTTTCTGTGACGTTTGTACGACATCTTTAAGACAACCTGTTTTCTAACATAGGATATTTACAGTACGTATTTCAGGCATTCGCAGGACCTTTCGGATATTCGTAAGATATCCTCAATATCTGAAACAGATATCTTTAAAGTGTTTTAAAGGCGTTTCTGTGACGTTTGTACGACATCTTTAAGACAACCTGTTTTCTAACATAGGATATTTACAGGACGTATTTCAGGCATTCGCAGGACCTTTCGGATATTCATAAGATATCTTCAATATCTTGAACAGATATCTTTAAGATGTTTTAACGATGTTTCTGTGCTATCTGGGTATCCATCATATGTTATTTTTTATATTTATTTGTATCGAATTGAATATATTATTCAACTAAATTTCTGTCATCCCAACATACGCTTCACAATGGAAACTGAACACCATAACCAACTCCCATTCTTACAATTAGATGTTCTGGTTACCAAAAAACCCAATGGACAATTAGGATACGGAGTATACCGCAAACCCACACACACCAACAGATACTTACGCGCAGATTCACACCACCACCCTTCACAAAAAGAATCAGTGATCAATTCCCTTGCACTCAGAGCACTTACAGTTTCTGACTCAACTAACCTCAACCAAGAACTATCCACTCTACACCAGACGCTCCGATCCAATGGATACACATCTCAACAAATCAATCGCACCATCAAAAAACTCCAAACACCTCCCAAGACGGAACATCAACCGAAAACTTCGTTAAAACTGCCTTCCTCCCATATGTTCAAGGAGTTACCGATTCCATAGGGAGAATTCTCCGCAAAAACAAAATCAAACCGATTTTCAAACCACCTCAAAAAATCGGTCAATTCCTAAAATCTCCAAAAGACCAACGCTCTCCTCTCAGCTCTTCTGGGGTATACAGGATCCCGTGTTCCTGTGGAAAAGTCTACATCGGAGAAACCGGGAGAAAGATCAGCACTCGCTTAAAGGAACACATAAGATGCGTCAAACTGAAACATGTCTCCATCTCAGCGCTAACAGAACACCAAATAGAAACAGGTCACCAAATCCGGTTCGACCAGACCACCAGCCTGGCGAACTCAAAACAATACTTCCCACGTAAATATAGAGAAGCACTTGAAATCCACAAACATCCCAACAACATCAATAGAGACTCCGGATACCAAACACACCCAATTTGGAATAGCATCCTCCCGGTTTTTTAATTGACTGGCCATTCAATTAAAAACAGCCACCCGATTGGTCAAATCCACTTAACTGGAACGTCACGCTACAGCGACTCCGGTTCAGTTAAATAGGGACACCCTGTACGGGAGCAACCAGTATCAGGTTGTATCTCGCCCTGTTGAAGCATACTGTAATGTTTGCGAAACGTCGGCAACAAATCGTCAAACAACGCGGCTCCATCCCGGAAGCTAAGTCTTATTCTGAATTTCTGTTGTTTAGACGCAACAGAAACATCAAAAGTGTGCAAAAATAAAAAAGAAACGGAGGTATCTATACAGTTTTGGCTAAGGAGAGCTGCGGAACGCAACAAAATCATCGTAAAAGATTTATAGTACAAATAATAAAATTATAAAAAAAAGTACAGAAAACGTTTTGTAATTTTAAATGCTCGGAAAACATTCCTTATATGGCTTTCAAGACGTTAGCATAGCGTTCTGCAAAGTTTTGTAAACGTTCACACAACGTTCAGAAAATGTTACTTTCGGACGTTCAGAAAACATCTTGAGAATGTGCGCACAGGACGTCCCCTGGACGTTCCACTTTTTATTTTTCATCACTTTATTTTTATTTTTATTTTTATTTTTTTTGTTTATAACGAGGGGGAAAAATGCCTTACGCAGACCGGATTAGCTGTTGTGTAATCCGGTACTGTGGGACTCCCAATTTGGTTTACCCACTAAAAAACCCACCTCGATTTCAGCCAGAAAATTTTATGTGAATTAACGTGAATTTTTATATTTACGGATTGTTTATATAGTTATTAATGTGAATATTTATAAATATCTATCTTTACAACGTATGCTGAAAATGCTCACCTTTGGCTTCCAGACATCTTTGAATGCGCTTTTCTAAATTTTTTGAAACATCTTGAAGCATCTCTTCACCAACATATCGGAAAAATATCGGACCGATAATCCGCTGACGAGAA